TTGGCTTGGGATGGTGCAATATTCAACGCGGCCAGCGATGGCCCCTCGAATATACTGCCGGTCGTGCGCAATCTTCACGACATCGGTTTCTCTCGCCTGGCCTCGTCTGTAGTGTCTCAAGCCGAGCACGCAACGGGTGCTGCGACCGAGGACCCATTCTTTGCAGAGCTCGGATGGAGGACTGGTAATTGGACATTACCGCTGAGCACGGAGGCCAAGGCGACACCCTCCGGCTTACTGTATGAGGCGCTAAGCGCAGTCCATAAGAGTAGAGACCTGGATACTGCAAGAGTGGCTATCAATGAAGCTGTACAAATCAGCATCGAAGAATTATCCAAGGCTTCTAGAGAGAAGATGTCTTCTATCGAATCCATCACCACAAATCTTCTCTGTTTGAGAGAATTACAGGAGTGGAACCGGCAGCAGTCAGAGGACTCGCCCAATTCCACAGTCTATCGTGCAGGGGAAAATTTTGAGGATTCTGGTACAAGATTTGAGTGAGTGCGACGATGGCATTGAGGGGGCAATGACTGATCGCATTTGTCCAGATTCTCCATTGCAGAAAAGATTATCGCCGTTCGGATGTCCTTGATACATTCAACCAAGCACCGCGAATCCCAATATCTCATTGGCGACATGGAAAGCCCTGGTCTCAAAGCAACTGTGGAAGCGGAGAAAGCATGTCATCTTCAGCTCTGCAAACTAGCCCTTAAAGATGGCAGAATGCAGACAGCCATCAACTCCATCACAGCGGCTCAACGACTAGAGGATACCTCTCGGGGATCCGAGGAGACTCAGGATCTGTTCTGCGAGGTGCTTTGGAAGCAAGGGGAGCACGGCCTAGCTATACAGCTGGTAGAGACGCGCATAAAAGAGGAGAAAGGTAGTAGCAGGGATCTCAACGGAGTGGTTTCCCTACGAGATAAATTGGTAAATCTCAAAGTTGTCGTTACAAACCTCATTACTGAATTGTTGGCATAGGCTCTCTGGACTTCTTCTGCCCGGCTGAGATCTGCCGAAGAGATCAAATCAACGTTTGAAGATGCGGTGTCCCGGGTCAAGAAATTTCAACTACGCAAGTCAGAACATGCCAGACTCTACTACCACTTCGCATGTTTTTCACACCAACAGCATATCTCTTTGGCCAACACCTCAGAGTTCAAGAGATTAGAAGAGCGAGAGAAGCGTCGCCAGGCCGGAGCGATCGCCTCACAAGCTCTTGGAAAAGGTGGCCGCCGTCAAAGCAAGCTTCAGAAAGGGGAAATACACCTCGCAAAGTTTGCTGAGTTCAAAGAAGCTCAAGCGGATAGCACAGCATTCGAGGACTTGAAGCAGCGAAGCGCTGCGTACCTCCGTTCTGCCCAGACAAACTATATCAAAGCGCTTTGCTACAGCAATGAGTTTGACGACACTATAATGTCGCTCGTCACTCTCTGGTTCGAGAACGACCAAGACCAAGAAGCAAATCAAGCTCTAGGGCAACAAATATCCACTGTCCCATCTTACAAGTTCATTTTCCTCGCCCCTCAGATCACCGCTCGCCTCAATCAAAACGACGACAAAGAGGAATTCGCAAAATCCCTCCATCACGTCGTTCTTCGCGTATGTCATGATCATCCGTACCATATACTGTACCAGGTCATCACTCTTGCCCATGCGCCTAGCGTGAATAAGGCTGACCATGGAGACCCCGGATCGGATGAAGCCGCAGCGGGACGAGCAGCAGCTGCTTCAAACATCCTCGAGAAGCTATCGAGTCTGGACGGCAAGAGCCTTAGCTCGGCAGCTGCCAAATCGATGCAGCAATTTGTCGACATCGCGGTTGATTGGACTCTTGAACCTATCATACACGACGAAGATGCCGAAGGCGTCAAAAAGCGGTCAGGGTCGCTCGAAGAAGACAGTATCTTGAACAAAACTCCACAGAATATACCCATCGCGACCAAACCACCTCCGATCGATTGTACATGCAAGTACGACAATATTGCTCTCTTTTCCCGTTACCAAAATACTTTCACAATTGCTGGAGGAATATCTACCCCCAAGGTGATGACCTGCTACGACAACAAGGGCCATAAGCACACTCAACTAGTACGCTTTTTCTCTTGCATTTGCGAAGAAGTGCTTACGGGGGTCTAGTTCAAGAGAGACGATGGTTTCAGGCAAGATACGGTGATGGAGCAAGTATTTGAGAGAGTGAACCATCTATTACAAGAGCGAACGCAATCAAAACGACGGCATCTGAGATTCAGAACCTATACGGTCGTGGCGTTCCCTTTGAATACCGGCGTCATCGACTTTGTCCCAAACACAATGCCCATAGGCGATTGGCTGAGACGGGCCCATACGAAGTATGCTTCCTGTCGCTTCTGGGATGAGACGTGGGGCTGACGTTGTATCAGGTATCGTCCTCATGACATTACAGCCTCGAATTTCAGCAAAAGACTGGCCGAGCCAAGATCACCCAAGCAGCCGAAACTCGACAAATCAGTCTTGACAACAAAGTTGGTGGAGATCTTCAAGACGTGCAAGAAGAGCTTCAGGCCTGTCATGCGACATTTCTTCACTGAAAAGCATCGAGATCCCGTGGCATGGCTCAGCATGCGGACAAGTTATGGAAGGAGTGTCGCCGTCACTAGCATGACTGGATGGGTTTTGGGGATCGGTGATCGGCACTGCTCAAACATACTGATCGACAATATCACTGGTGAATTGGTTCACATTGATTTTGGTGTGGCCTTTGAGGCTGTGAGTCTATCACGTCGCTCAATGTATGGACACTAACAATGTGGGTTTCGTAGGGAACCTTATTGCCGATTGCTGAGCATGTGCCATTCCGTCTTACCGATGACTTGGTCGATGCCCTCGGTATTACAGGTGTGGAGGGTGTGATGAGGCGATGTTCTCAGCTCGCTCTTCAGGTGCTCATAGACTCTTCCGACGTCATTTTGACCATACTGGAAGTCTTCAAGCACGATCCCCTCCATTCATGGTCCAGTGCGGAGAAACAAGTTCGAGCGCAGGGTGGCGGACATGATGTGCTCTTGGCTCACGAAAAGTCTGACAGGGTGCTGGGGAAAGTCCGGGAAAAGTTGTCGAAGGAGTTGTCAGTGGAGTATCGAGTCAATCAACTGATTCAGGAGGCGCGAGATGTCAATAACTTGGCCACAATCTACACAGGCAAGTCCGAGGTGCTTTCATGTGTACTCTTATGCTGACCATAGACGAAAGGGTGGGCGCCCCATTATTGAAGGATTGTGTGCCAAATATCGAGACGCTTTTCTTCAAAGACTTGGGGGCAGGGTTGAGAGAAAAGTGGCCTTTGTGGAGGTGTTGTATGTATAGATATCGCTACATCTCGTGTGTTCTATCAGAATCCCAAATAAGTAAAGTCCCGGTCGTGAATACAAGCACCTCTTCGACCACCAACGCCGGCCTGTCCGGCCCCTGCTACTACATAATCGTGCAACCCTCGTCTGCCTTACCCAGTGCGTCCACTACTCCGCCAATGTCACGCGACCTCGAACCAGACTGTTTCCCTTCGAGGTCCACGACGAGGACACCGGTATTGCTCGGGTCTACGTATGCAGAAAGGTTGTACCTATCGCGCTTTGTCAACGCAAGTCAAGTACAGGCGGTTGTTTCCAAGACTCACTTCTGCATCAAGTTTTCCACTGCAGGCTTGATCTTTGCATGTCCTCCTTGCGAATGCAAGCCTTTCCCGACAATGATTCGCAGTTCCTCACGGCGTTGTCTCTGGGAGTCGTTGATGGCGGCCTCCGTGCGCTCGATAGCCTCCTTGACGTAGAGGCCGTGAAGGTCGATGGTGCCAAAGGGAGAATCCTTGTTGTTCTCTGTGTGCTTATATTTTAGAAGCGTTCACTGCGAATGTAGACTTGGACTCACCATTAAAGATCCACGCAGACGCCTGATCATCCAGGTCGTCCTGGTTCTTCTGATGACTCTTGCCTTGTACCGACAAGTTGTGAGCTGCGGCACCATCGCCAGATCTAATGACATATCTTATCAGTACTGAGCCTTGGGCCGATGCTGGACATACTTGTAAGCCGCTTGCGAAGCAGCAAAGCACCTAGTCATTTCCGGTCAGTACTTCTTTTCGGTACGGATACGAGATCTCTGACTTGTGGGCCTCATCACCCTCTTTCCTCGCTTTGTTCCGCAGATCAACATATCGCTGATTGGTAGCGTTCACCATATCGCTGTTCATATTCTAAGCCGTGTAAGCTACTTTTCTGTCCCGAGGAAAGCCAGACGGACTTGACCGGCATGAGGACCAACAACACCGCCCGCTGGAAGGTGGACGGGACTATGCCCGTTCGTCTGGGGTGGGCTCTGCCAGCCTGCTGATTGGTGATTTTGCTGATGAGGTGCCGACTGCCAGGCTTGCTGATGAGACTGCTGCTGTTGATGGCTGAGAGGGGGGAATTGCTGTTGATTTTGGCTAGCGACACCGGCCCATGTAGGCTGCTGTTGAGGGGGGTATGCGTTCCCCTGCTGTGAAACAGCTCCGGGATAGCCACCATATTGCTGCTGACCCTGTTGTTGCGGACCTGTTGACTCCTGCTGACCGCCGCAGCAGATCTTAAGGAACTGAGTGAGAACAGACACCAGAGACATGGGCAATAGGAGATGAGCCCAGGGCTGAATGGGGGGCTGGGAGCTGGTGGAAAAGTGATCAGAAAAGTGTCAACAAATTGCCGATACAGGGATGTTGATTTTAGCGTCATTTTCGGCTTTCCATTTACGTACCGCGCCGTTTGGCGACTTTGGTTCCGTTGCCCACTGATCTCCCAGAGTTGGAGTTGATTCATGCATACAGGTGCATACGAGTAGGATTGTGTGACGCATAGGAGAGATTGCTTCGTGCAGTACAAGATCCTGCGCCGGAAGGAGCACGCTGTCCGAGATGGCGGTAGCTTCCAAGACTGAGATCCAAAGTATACATGTGCTCGTAATACACCCCTTTTTTCTATATCCTCCTATGACTCCACCACCATAGGAGACGCCTCGGTGGCAGCTTCTCGCGCCGCCTTCTTCTTGCCTTCGTATTCGTACCACAGCTCGTTGATATCGTAGTTTCCTGAGGACGGAATGAGCTATTGTCCGCAGATAGGAACGACAATACTGACCGATGAATTCCCAACCATTCTCTCTGACATGGTAAAGGTTGTTGGTGTTACCGGAGAAGGCGTCTCGGTGGCCGGCCGCAACGATTGACCGTCTTCCGAGCTCCTGCGCTTCTTCGTCGGTGAGGTCCCATCTGTAACCCTATAAACAGTATCAGTGCCTGCGACATGTCAAACGTAGGCTTGACTTGCCTGGTCGAGAACACCGTACGCAAAGGTACTACCGGACCCCACAGAGAAGATGTCGCTGGTGAGTCGCTGTCCATCATCGTCGACATAGAAGATTCGGGGACCTGTCTTGTCCCAGCCGCACACCATGGTACCCTGATTACTGTCAGTTATTGTATTTGTGGAGCAAAAGATGACATACCATACTCAGACCCATCCCCTTGTACTGGTACACGATGTTGGAAAGGATTTTTGAGGCAGCCGCCACAGAGATTCGCTCCTTGTTTCTTAATTCGTACAGTCGACATTGCATACCCAAGTATGTTTCCCTGCATTTATCAGCCACATGATTTCGTTTAATGAGATCTCGAGACTTACCAGTATTGACAGTCGGCGGCACCACCGGCCATAGTGCCGAGCAAGAACTTGTTGATTTCGATGACCTTTTTGACAGTACCGGAGGCTGCACATCGTTAAGCCCCGTCCTTTGACTCGACATGCTGCATGAGGACTTACCGACATAGCTTCCCGCAGTGGCCCTAGAGTCGACAGAGACAATGATACCTCCTTGGAATCGGAAAGCGAGGGTGGTGGTTCCGTGGGCAATCTTGATCTTGGCCTCTGGGTTGGCGGACATGGAGTCCGTGTGCATGTCTAGGAAGGCAGTTGGCTGTAGAGACCAGCGTCAGCTGCCGTCATGAACGTTGGCCAGTGCACTTACATCCAAGACTCGGGGAATGCTCATAGACTCGATGCCACCGGTCCTAGAGAGGTTGCCGAAACCAGCCATACTGCCCCATGCAGCGGGGTCGGTGTGGGCAAACTCGTCCTCAGCGGCGGCGAGGCTGTTGAGGGAGGAGGGCTGCTGGATCTGCTGGCGGACGGCGTTCATGACGGGTGGGGGTTAGCTGATGCCATCCCAATCCCAAGAGGCCGCGTTGGTGGTGCTTGCGCGTCAACCGGCGGGATCAATTAAACCCGGCCGCTGCCGCCTCCCCTGCCTCCACCCCCCTGCTCCGTCTGCCGTCAGTCAGTCTGTCTGACTCGTATGCAAGGGTGGAACTACTGTACAGAAACAATAGAGCAGTCCCATCTCGCACTAGCAGAAAGAATATACCCACCATATTCAGATCCTTACACAGAATCGCTCCGTCAGTTGGCTATGGTCAGGTCAGGTCTTCAACAAGATGTGATAAATCTCTACCGAGAGCAAGTATCATCCCTGTCAAAAATCAAGCGCATAGCTGATAACCCATGCTACTTTTAGATGTATCAAAGCAGCTATGAGTAAACCGCCTGTGCGTAAAAGGCCGATATATATATGTACATGGAAGCTAGCGCTAATCCGGGGCACACGACTGGATAGAATCTTCGGCCGGCCTTTCTTCTCCATATGAGATACAATTTCCGTAATCCTCAACTGAGGCAAAGAGATTATGTGGCTATCGAACACCAGGTACATATCGTCTCTCTATTGTGGATGAACCACAAGCTAACGTCCGTGGACAGTTGCGGAAGATGTCCAAGACGTTAGAGATGCTATCTGAACCAAGCGTGCAAAGAATATCAGTCAGTGAAGAGATGGAGAGCTGGTGGAAAGAGGAGGTACAGAGGGCAAGGAGCAAGACCGTAGCAGAGACACAGCGGGAAAGAGATCAGATGAAGAAGACGGATGAGGGAGGACGAGATAGAGATCAGATGGCTGGGAAGCTGCCTGGGCTTGGGGGTACATGAAAGTGATACGTACTAGGATGCATGGCCACGAGGAACTGTATGTGTACATGTCTGAGGGCTGGCCTGACAGAGCAGTGACAGAGAGGAGTAATGACGTCACGGCACCGTCTGGCTTGGTTATCAGCAGGCGTGCGTCCAGCGTGCGTTGCAGTCCCACTTACAATTCACAACTTTAGCCATGGCCAACTTTGAGCGTCAGTCGACCCCGTTGCTCCCCGAACATTCCAAGCTGATCAGGGTATACAGGCGAAAACAAGGCCGGAGACGCTGTCCTCCAACATGACCAATCCACAGGTCCTGGCTCGTCCTCGTGAGTCCGAATCTATGGAATGTTGACAATGTCCTGATGAATGTAGTATCAACCCTGCGGGCGTGAGTATCGCCGACAAAACCTGCCAGATAGTGCATATGTTTACGCTGCATTAGGTGTTCCCAGAGGCGGGTGAGACGGGTGCTGCTGCGGCCCCATCTGGTTCTATGCCCGGCGCAGGCCCCCCTGACCACCACGGTGATGTCAGAGGTGTGTTCGGCAACGTGCGTGGTCCTTTTAACGATCGTGACACTGGCTTACTCCCCTCCAGCCCCAGGTATTCAAAGATACATTCTCACGTCTCTCGAGCGCTTTCACGGAGGCGATCAACAAGATCGAGGACGAAAGCGGCAGCGGGGTTGGAAATACGGGACAGGCGTTGATCGGGCGACTGCTGGCGATGCAGGGCGAGGTGGACTCGTGGAGGGCCGGCAAGGGGCTGGAGGACGTCTCGGAGGACGGGCAGGACGTGGTGGGTGCTGAAGGCGGGCTGTATAAGGAGTGAATTTGACTGGAATTTGATCCCGAGGCGATAAGAGATAAGCCCGCGTGCTGATGGCGCAAACATGCATCATGATGGCAAAGATTGTTGCGGTATGCATTACGTAACCCTCTTTTCGGAATGTGTGTAATTACGTGACCGCTTTGGAATTCGCTCAGCTGCTCGCCGTTATCGTCGCCGCATTTCCATCCCCATCTTGTGTTTGCCTCTCATCTTGCTCTTGCCTCTTGTCCCCCGCCCGCCCCCTGTCCCCCCGCCCCAGCCCCGCCCCCGCCATCCATCCCACCCACAATGAACCACGCCTCCGCCTCCTCCAGCCTGCCGGCTTACGCCGAGACACCTAACTCGATGTCATCACTCTCCGAGCGCGAGCTCGATGTCATTCCTTCTAGGTCTGGCCGGAAACTGTGTGTCAGGCATAAGCAGATGGCCGACCAAAACATGAACGAAAAGCTGCAACATGTGGGTGTACTTGGCGCCTGATCACTCAGTATGACTAACAATGATCTGGTAGTCGTTGGATAATCTCAGCCCCTCTGAACGAGCGGCCATCACTCAAATGTGGTCGACATTTTCGACTGCCCCTCACGGTAAAAGGAAGATCATCCTTGAAGGCATCCTTACCATGTGCTGTTTGCAAGTATTATCCGCGCATCATGTGACGTGTTGACTGACGCACGTTGAAGCTCCCAGCTCTCCCACCTCTCTGACTCTCTGGTCCAAATAATCCGAATCGATCCCTTCTCACTCCTGCCTCGCGAGATATCGCTCCGCATTCTCGGCTTCCTCGACGCCTTTTCTCTTGGCAAGGCCGCTCAAGTCTCCAAACTGTGGAAGGCCCTCGCCGACGACGACCTTCTTTGGCGCAGAATGTGTGGCCAGCATATTGACCGCAAGTGCGAAAAGTGTGGATGGGGTTTGCCGTTGCTGGAACGAAAGCGGTTACGGGTGGAGCTGAAGGATCGAAGCCCTGCAGAGTTGGTCGAGCACAACCACAGTCACGACCATGAAGACGGAGAAAGCAGGCTCGTCACGAGGGACCAAGTTCTTTCTGGGGCCTATGATCACCTTTCGCCAGGTCAGGTAGGTCTCAAGTCTTGTGACTCTCCGGCCATGTACCTTCCGTCACCGTCAGGCACCTCCGTACCCTCTAGCAAGCGTCCTGCCCCAGACTCTGCTTTGGCCGTGAGCCACGCATCATCAAAGAAGGCCAAATTTGACAACACCGACTCTGGGTCGGATTTGCGTGGGAGATCTAGCAATGGAAATGATGCCGGCGGGTTGACTCGAGAAGTCCGATTGACGAGACCGTGGAAGACTGTGTATTGCGAGAGGCTCATGGTGGAGAGAAACTGGAGAAAGGGACGCTGTAACACCAAAGTTCTAAAGGTACATTGCCTCATTTAACCGCAAGCTCCCTACTGACATCCGTTCTAGGGTCACGCGGACGGTGTCACCTGCCTTCAGTACCACACAGCACTCACCAATCCTTCCTATCCCGTCCTCATTACCGGCTCCTATGACCGCACAGCACGCGTCTGGAACCTCGAGTCTGGAGAAGAAGTCCGTGTCCTCCGCGGCCACACCCACGCTGTCCGCGCTCTTCAATTTGACCAGATGTTGCTCTTTACCGGCGCCATGGACGGCACGGTACGCATGTGGAACTGGAGAGCCGGCGAGTGCTTACGGGTCTTGGACGGACACACCGATGGCGTCGTCACGTTGAACTACAATGGCTACCTCCTGGCCAGTGGTTCTGCAGACACTACAATCCAGGTGTGGAATTTCCGCACAGGCAACAAATTTGTCCTCCGTGGGCACGAAGAATGGGTCAACAGCGTTGTGCTCTGGGACGGCAAGACGTCGCCATCCGACACAGATCCCGCGGCTATGCCGAGCTTTACACAAGCCGTTTCGAATCGATGCCAAAAGAGCAGCACCCCTGGTCTTGAGATCTCCCAGCCTGATGTTCCCAATGTTGAGCCCGGCACCATGCTTTTCTCTGCTTCCGATGACATGACCATCAAGCTTTGGGATCTCGAGACAGCTACCTGCGTCCGCACCTTCGAGGGCCACAAGGCACAAGTACAAAGCTTGAAGATTTTGATGGTAGACATGACGGAAGAAGAGGTGGCTACTCGGGACAGACGCCAACGCCGCCAGCTTACGCCCCCCCATACCACTTCCGGGTTCATCACTGCTTCCAATGCGTCTCCAGTCGGTGTACATGCGTCTGGCGAGGTCAACGGCACTTTACTTGACGCAGCTCCCGATGGCTTTGACCCCGTCGAGCATCGTGGTCGAGACAGAGAGCAGACAGTCCAGCCGCGCGTGTACGTGCACTCTCCCGAAGGTCGTTCCAAGCGAGCGAGCTCCAGAGACAACTCTCGTGCCGACGAAAAGAAGGCCATCATCACCTCTGGTTCTCTTGACGGCACCGTCAAGATCTGGGACGTCGAAACTGGCCAAGAGCAATCTACGCTCTTCGGTCATATCGAAGGCGTCTGGGCAGTGGACATTGATGCGCTGAGACTTGTTTCTGCCTCTCATGATAGGACGATCAAGGTTTGGGATCGAGAGAGTGCCCAATGTGTGCAGACCCTTGTTGGGCACCGGGGTGCTGTGACTTCTTGTCAGCTGAGTGACGATATGATCGTTTCTGGTTCAGGTGAGTTGGCATGAAAGACTGCACACTTTCGCTTTTACTGATGATCATCTCAGACGATGGCGATATCATGGCCTGGAATTTTGCTCCTGCTGCCAACAACAATCATTCCAACCTTGCTTCATCATCCTCCACCCCCGGCCACCATTAGGCGCCTCTTAAACAAAAATGTAACAAAAACACCATTGAAACAGGGTAAAATCACCCCCATTTTGTACGACACAGTCACGATGTAAAATCCATCTACTATAGTTTTTTTCTTGTACCAAATGATATTTAGCCCTATTGTATATCCCGTACGGAGTTGACGAGCCATAATATATATGTCAAGATCTCTCTGACCTTGTAAGGAAGGGTGAGTAGTAGCATACCGGGGGGGCACGAATGCATCAAGATGTCCAGACATAATCAGGCCACCACTTCTGATCTTATCCATGCTCCCCCACAGAAACAGTGCACAGTAGACGCCGTCTTCCATCTACTCCAGGGGCTGGTCGGCGCGTCCTGTGCCCTTGTGCTCCTCGCCAGTGCCTCTGTCCTACTCGAGCATCGATTGCACCTTACAATTATTTTCCTTGTGCCCTTGTCCTCTCCATTCCATACAGGGGGTAGCAGTGTCCACTCGAGAGCATCGAACGCCATGGGCGCATCCCTGGAATTCACAGCTGCGGCGCTCGTAAAGAGCAGCGAGGAGTCGTGCAGTGCCTCGAGGAATGCTGGGAGGTGCTCTTGTATCGGTGTCACCGATAGTGATGTCAAAGATGTCTGCACTGATGAGAGCTCATCAAGCTCGCCCACTGGATGCTGTATCAGATCGTGTCCGTTGTTGAATGTGCCAGATACTCACTCTTCTCCAATGCCTGTCCCCACCCTTCCAAATCTACTCCCCACTTCGTAGCCAAGTCTCCGGCCATTTCTCTCGCCACAATTGTCGCCATAGGGTCTCTCCTTCTTCCTCCTCCAGTGCCGCCGGCCTCTGGTTGCAAAATTGGTCTCCCGAGCGTCGCTAGGAAAAGACAGAATTGATGTAATTGGGAGAGAATACGGATGACGAGTGAACGAAGCGTGGGATGGAAAAGGATGAATATTGAGGTGTGGGGGTGATCTATCAAGTTTTGAGGAACAGTGGGATGATTTGACGAGGAGGCCCTGAAAATGAGAGATTGGCGCATGGAGCTGGATATCAGAAAGAGACACCAGTCAAGGACAGATATCAGAGGCCATATCGAGTCTGCCCAGATGTTAGCCCACGGATACAAGCAACATGAAGACAAATGCGACTCACCCAGGTCGAATGTAATCTTTCCATCCTCTTCAAATGTCGCGCACTGATCGAGCAACTCGCTTGCCACATGCAAGCGGAGTATATCGGCAGATAGCGCGAGACGAGAATCTCTGAATGCGCTGAACAGAGCGACCTGTACCCGACCTAGAATATCCATCTGGTCGATGGCACTATCTTCCCCGGACAAGATATAAATCCGCCACAAAAGGTCATTGACAAATGCTACAGAAAAGTCAGAGCCGGGGATGCGCTGACATGGAAAGACATACAATTTTGGGAAGACAGATCAACGATTGCCGTCAGAGCTCGGATCACATCGGACCAGTCTGACCCCTGCCGCTCAGCGAGAATGATGCTGGTGGCGGCAGAAACAGCTTGGCTCTCTTCACGCGACATGGATCCCGGCTTGTGGTCTCCAATCATTGTTTGATCTACGCGAAGTGAGTCGGGATGTTCTACTTTGTCAGATATTGGCCCACCGTTCAACGTTCTGACGGCACCCAACTGGAGACGCTCTCTTCCAACGACTGCACAAAGTCCCAAATGTCCTCTTTCCACTCCCTGACTTGGCAGCAGAATCAGATTGTCGCTTTGCAAGTCCCCAAGCCTGTATTCACTCAACAAATTCCACTGTGTGGAGCCCAGGTCGAGGTGCACTCTAGAGAGGCCATTGGGGGTGGATATTATAGCGAGGGCAATAGTATAGGGTGGGAGAGAGGATAGAGGGTGGAGGAAGAGTATGGTCGTACAGGCTGGACTGCAAACAGACCGTGATGGATGTGGGGCCGTAAACTGAGACACACAAGATGAGCAAAAGCAGATTGGCCAGAGCGTATCACCTTACCCAATCCCACAAGTCTCCCACTTCGGTGCTGGCATCCGACATCTCGCTGAACCCTGGAGCCAGTTGGAGGAGTCTCCGTTCAAAGACCATAGTGACAAGTCTTGTCCTCGATAGTGAGTCTATGTCATCAAGTACTACAGCCAAAGTTAGTTTGAGGTGTATCATCCTTGGAAACACTGACCAGTGTCTCGATAAACCAGTACTACGCCGGCTCGTTCTGTAGACACAGGCGACTCATCATCCTCCATTCGGACATCTCCAGTTTCCACTCCTTGCTCTACATCCCGTCTCTCTCTAGGTATGTGAACAAATACCATATCTTGTAGCACTGATCGACAATCACTGGTCTCTGCGCCTTCGAAAGGCGGGCGGTCCACGAACGGCAGAGACGCCAAACGTGTGGTCTGTAGATCTTTGAGAGTTGTCAGCGTTCTGGAGTGACGACACGACAAGAAAACATACGATAGTTTCCGTTCTCGTTCACGTTGACGTCGGCCCTGACCACGCCGACCTTTCCTTCCGCTTCGTACCCTATCCACACGCCCCGGCTTCCGGCCACCAAACTCATCCACCCTCTCTCTATGCGCTTTCCGCTCTCTTGTGGCCCTGTAATACCATCCTGAGAAAATCCCATCGTCAAGATGGAGGTTTGTATACAGCTCATAACCCATGATGATGAGACGTCTAGACCCCCGGGGTGTGGAATGGCTTGTGGATGCACCAGAAGAACTTGAAAGGCCGTGAGGATGGTAAAGGTCGGACCACGTGACGTGTCATGACCCGCAGGCGGACTGGGGCCTAGAGGAAGAGACCTGGCCCGCGATAGATGGGTGCGTGGGGGATACAGATGGGAGATGGCCAGCGGTTTCGAGGACAATTGGAAAGTAGCGAGGGGCGTTACTGATGGACGGGCGGCATTCGGGGAGAGGATCGACTGTGGATAGATGGCGAGGGTCCCTCCGTGCTGAGGATGTGGATGATATGCAATAATCCATTCTCCAGTGGGAGAGAACGAGATGTGGTCCGGCGGGGAGAGGAGGGGCGGAGCTGGGAACAGCCGTGGGTGGGCGTTGCTGAAGAGGGGGGAGAGAAGGAAGCCATGGGGCGAGTTGTAGATGAGGGTGCTGGTGGTGGGGTGAATTGCAGCAGCGGGGCGCGTGGAATACGGCATCGCTCCTGTGCAGCACGCAGGAAAAGAACAAAGACAGAGGAGAATAGCGCGCGCGGCCTTCCGTGATTTCTGCCTCCACTTGTCGCATAACTGAGAGTGAAGGGTGGATTGCTATTTCAATGCTGCATTCCAACTATACATATGCTTGCGGCCACTGCAGTAAATCTTCCTAGTCCACTGGTACACTGCCGAACTCGTAATGAGCTACTCGCCATAGACGCCCTTCGGCTCTTCATCAACGTCGCCTTCTACCGGTCTCAAATCTCCGCCTGCTTCCTTCCCTTCGTCCTGTAGCGCATGTTTCTTCTGGGACTTGACCTTTTTCCAAGCCACGAACTCTTTAATCAACCCAAGGATCAGCGGTACAGCGATAGGGGCGAACAGCGGAGTATACATGGCAAACTTGTGCTCATCGGGCTGCAATAATGGGTCAGCCCTCGCAACCGGTGATGACCTTGTCGACCCACAAAGTAGAACAAGCCCATCATAGACGGGTCAAAGAATGCTCTATTTGAGAGAGTGACAGCGTCTCTGATGAGAGTGAATGTTTCCAAGACATCTCTACCATCGGTCCTCTGGGTATCAAGTCAGCTACCGCTTGTCATGCCCCAGTCATGGCTACTTACTTGAGCTTCTTCGAGTCTCGAGACTGCACCACTGACCATTCTCCTCACTCCCTCTCCCACCTTCATCTCCACAATCTTTCTCACCAGACGCACGATACCCATCAACGTTTTCCTTGCCTCCACCGCATTCTCCCGCATCCTCGCGAGCTCGACCTGATGGACCTGCCACGGAGTGAGAGGCTGTAAAGAAATGGATTGAGGGTGGAAAGGAGAGGATGCGGGTGGGATATGTAGCTTATTCGTCTCATATGGTAGGCGGGGTAGGGCGAGGAGAGAGTAAAGGTGTTGAGTGAACAGGTGAAATGCCGGTGTAAGAGCAGGTGAAGAGAGATGATATGCCGGGGCAGACGTCTCTGGAGGATTGATGACAACGACTCCACCAAACTGAGGAAGAAGAAATGAGTGGGCAGAATCGGGAGACGCGAGACGCATGGGTCTGTGTTGCTTGCTGGGAACGTAGAGCAAGAATCTCAACACTGGGTTGTTGGTACTACCAGAGTCTTTGGATCGTAAGCTCTGATCCCATGAACCAAACCAGATGAGACTCACCAAGCGACCACTTTTCAGAGTTGACGAATATCTTCAGATGTTCTTCGTCAATCACCCACACCCGTTCCCCTCGCTTGTCCACCGTTTCACTGATGAATGCCCCCACCTCTGCCCCCTTGGCAGCGTCGGTGGCAGAGGCCGAGTTGACGGATTCCACACCTTCATCAATCGCCTGATCCTGTTCTTCTTCGGGTATGAGTCCCAAGCGAGGCTCAAAGCTGAGCGGGGCATGAAATAAGATCTGGGACTCGATGGTAAAGTTGAACACTGGTCTGAGCGGTTCCAGATGAGCCAGAAAGTGATCTGAGGGACGGATCAGCGACTGCCTGCCACCTGCGAGGTGTACGTACCTTTGATAGCCTGATCGATATCCCACCCCCTTACATAGCTCCCTTCAGTGGCATCCTCGTTCAGTAGGACAAAGCTCAAGGTTATATTGGGAGTGTATTTCAGGGCTCTGAGTGGCAAGTCGGGAGGATTGGGAGGAAAGACAGATAGAATCGAATTTATCAATGCTATCTTGTAGTGTACTATTGACGTGTCAATAAGTTTGCCTTCCGGCAAGTGGAAGACTGGCCTTTCAAGTTGCGGTCTCCCACCTGCTCAGGATGCACTGGCACCACCAGCGTCCCTGCCGGAATGCCCGAAGTCACCAGCCCACTCTCGGCCGGTTGCACGTAGGGCTCGAGGGGAAAAGAGCTATTAGCGTACTCCCACCGCCTGAGATGTACTCTGAGGGGCGTTCTTTGCGCCTCTTGATCACCTGGATTGCACATGAGCCACTCTGCAAGGACTCGTAGCAGCACTTACCTGTGTAGACAAAATCCCACCTCCGAATATCTCTCTCCTTCTCCGGCTTTCGAGCATAGATCCCGTCGACGCCCTTTGTGACTTCTCTCCCGAGGCTCTGGAGTATCTCTTTCGTTTCGTATTGGTGACGGCCAGGCGGTGAGGCAGGGAACGCAGAGGGGTCGGCTGTGAAGAGTATTTGGGCGTGGGGTGTAGGCGACTTGGGGCATTTGAGCAAGCATGGAGTGGGGATGGGTTCCACTCACATCTGTGCTAGTGAGGTGCTCTATTCTGGACTCGGGAAGGGGCAGTCGCTCGATAGAAGTTGTATACCACCAAAAGGGGATGGCCAGGAGAAAGAGGGCGGGGAAGGAGAGGATGGTGGCGAGGCGGCGTGTGGGCGGGGGGCTGGCTGCTGGATGGAGGGCGGACGGGGGGCGAGGCGCCGCTCGAGACATGGCAGATGGCGAGATGGCGAGATGGCGAGGAGATGGCTGAGAAGCGAGAACAGCTGCACAAGACCGTCGGTGTTGCTGGCGGCCCATCCCGCCACTGCTTACATTTGACATATACGTTGGAAAATTCGATGGCAGTTGATTATAGCTGTGTTACTATTCATGCATGGCCATAAGACATCACACCAACGTTTTAATCTCTCCTCCGCCTGCTGCTTCGTTTACCGCCCCCGTCTCCTTCTCGTGCCCGTTTGCCTCCGCCCCCAGAATTGCTCCTTTCACTTAGCTCGCCCTCCTCCCCAACCTCCCCGTCCTCCAGCCCCCCTCCTCGTTTCCCGTTCCCGGCACCAGCTGGCGTCGAAGACGTCCGCATACCCGATGGCCTATGTGGCAAAGAATAGGAGGGTGGTCTCGCGCTATTTCGGCCGTTGCTAGCGGACGATATAGGAGACGCCGAGGGACGGTTTGGCAATTCGTGCGAGGGAACAGAGAGTTTGGCAGGTGGATGGAAGATCGGCGCATTTGCGCTCAGCTTTGGAGCTGCGCCGCTGGAAGGAGGCCCGCTAGAGGAAGGGGCTGACGATGTGACGTTGATTGGGGCTGAGGTAATGATTGTGGGAGGGTCTTCCTTTTCGACTGCCACTGCGGCCAGCGTGGGGTCAACAGGGAGCTTGATCCCTCGACACTTTTCGACAAGGTTTAATATCTGTGTGAATGTATCTGCTCGCGCCTGGGCCGCCTGGGCATAGATGCCGTGAGAGGCCCGTTGCTCTTCTAGAGAGGTCTGGACGGTCGATATTTCGCTATTCCGAGTCAGTATGGATCGCAGTATGCCAATTGCTAGCTCACGCATCCAGCTCGTCTCTTCCTCTCCCTCTGGACTTTATCCTAGACGCTAGCTCATCGCATCTCGCCCTGTGATCCCTGTTCATCCTAGCTCTCTCCAATTCCTTCTTCTCTCTCTCGAGGACCTCTTTCATACCTTCCGTCTTTTTCCTGAGCCCCTCAGCCTGCCTGGTGTACTCCTCTTTCTGCCTGTCAAGGTTTGCGACTGATCCAGTAATACGCTCTATGGTGGATTTCCATTTGAGGAGCTCGAGATGGAGAAGGTGGGCTTCGAGGGAAGAGTCATCACCGGAGGTCGAGGGAACCGGGGTGCGGTGGAGACGGCGGAGGAGTGGTTTGAGGTCTCTGTCTGGGTGAGCTATACGGTACCGGTTCAAAGCGTCTTCGGAGAAGGGGGCAGTGGACATGGTGTGGGAGGGATGAGCAAGAGGACACATCTCAGTCTCGAAGAGATGGGCGCGTGCTCTTTATTAATCAAGTAATTACGGATACTTACTGGATCCTCTTCTGCTCTCTTCTTGCGTGCCTGCTTTTCTTTGGCTTCTCTCAACTCTCAACGATCTTCCTCTGTCCTGGGAAGCTGTGGGATCTCTCCAGACGAATCCACGGCGACCAGTGTATTATATCCCGCACTCCCTTCGGTCTTTTCATACATGATCAATCCCTATCGCCGCGCATTCAACTCATTTCCAGTCGTCAGGCTCAACCTCACAACCGCACTCATACGTTCATCCCACAGGCCTGAGCGTCGACTTGTCCCTAGATTCTAGATTCTGCTGCTCGACAGTCGGCAGACAACGGTGCCAGGTCTGCTTACCCTGTAGAGATGCTGGGTCATATCGCAACCCTTTTTGACTGACATTGTGTTTCTTTTTCGGGATCCTCCTGTACTTACCACCTCCACTTTTTACATCTTCTCATCGGGTCATACTCGCAAAGGCTGGATTCTATAGCGAGCCGTTCCCATTCATATCGACAGAGTCGACTTGACGACCCCATTGCCCTCTACAGCAGAGTCGAAGCTTTGACAGCTAGAAATATCGACTACTGTCATTTCAGCCCCCATCTCTCCATTCGATCTCACTGTCTCACTCTTCGGACACTCTGGAAGCTCTGTATCCAAACTCGGGGATACCTCACTGATGGATCAGCAGCGAGATCCGAGGCGAAAACATGGCCCTCATCGATACTAGCCAACAGGTATACTTTTGTGAGGTCTTTCGTCCACCTTGGATCTATGACTCATAGCAAGCACAGTGGTATCTCAGGTATCAGCTGCCCTTCTCCTTCTCATTCTCCCAGCCTATATTCTCCCCTCTAGAATGACTGGCGTCCCTCAACGTCTTCGCCCTAGTGTACCCACTATATCTCTCTTTATAGTGGTCGTCGTGAAGGGGTGTGTGACCATTCTGGATCAGATGATCATGAAGGTCAGCAAGGAAATGCTGGAAATACTGTGCGACTTGGATTCTATGCTTTCTCTTTACCTTGGAACCTTGCTCTTGGCACACTTGCCTATCGTAGCGATCGTGAGTCTACGGCGCGCCATATATTTGTCACGACGCTGAACGTCGGGCCCAAGCACAAGTACGTCTCGACGCCAAGTGTGGCCAATCCCTCTCCACCTCGCCCTTCCAAAACCCGCAATGCGATCTGCATTGGTCTCGCTCACGTATACGCTCTAATCCCTCTGGTACCGACCTTGACTATAGCCGGATCAATGGGCTTTGATGTGCCCGACGGGTTTGGCATATGGTGGGGCTACTACTGCCGGGAGAGAGCCAGCTGGATGCGAGTCCGTGAGTCATCACCTTGCTTCTGACTTGCATCGGACTAATGAGCAGTCCGTATCATCGCCTTTTCTGGGCCCCTTGCTGTAGCTCTTGTGGCTTCTTTTCTCCTGTTCACTGCTCTGATTGCCACAGCAGATCACCCTTCCCCTACTGTGCGGCCCCAGGCTCGCCACTGGGCTCAAGCCTGCTTTCTCTTTGTATGTTTGGTCGCGTGTGTGGTCTACTTGATTCTGGAGCAGGTCCAAGGTTGGAATGCTGCATGGTGGCCCAGATGTTTCGAAGGTTTGCCATGTAATCCTCTTCCGGTCCCTTGCTGACCACTCTGAAAGGTCTGCCTGCCCCAATCCTTCTGCTTTTTCTGCTCTTTGACCCTTACATCACCCGCGCTTATGTCTCGTGGCTGCGACTCCGACGCCCCGTGGACGAGGAGGAAGGCTTTGCAATCGGTGGCGGAGCCAAGTACTATGCCTCTAGCAACTCGCTGGTCTATGAGCCTCAGAAACGGCAGCCGGCTGATATCGCAAAGCGTTCGAGCAGCTTTTGGGCACCGCCCCGTGACTCTGATTTTGTCCCGTGGGAGACAATGCTGGACCCACCTGTTCCTCGTCTCACGGTACAGCCTCAATACCAAGAGCGGCAGGAAGACATCAAGATGGAAGGGAAACAGCCGCCGCTGGTAGATGAGATGCAGATGCCACGGCATCCTGAATCTATCGCTGAGCCTCCGTCAGCTGGAGACGTTGGCCAATCGCCCGCGTCTCCTATGCGGCGGCCCTCCATGACCCGCTATCCTCCACCTTGTTACCAGGCGCCAATGACAAAGCTCAATTCAGAGTCCCCATTGAACCGATACCGCTCTGCCACATCTACCATTTATTCGCGAGCTTCTTCTTGCACGGAAAGCGAGAGTGGAGAGGGTGGGAGGCGGTCAGTGAGGGCCAGTGATCCTTTCAAGTATGCTACGTCTACAGTGTATACAGACAGAAGCTTTCCATTCCAACTGGAGACCGAGTTGCTGGCTCCAATGCCTCCAGTCTCTACCTACCCGTTACCAGTCAATGATTCGCACTTTTCGGGCGATGACTTGTCTGATCCTCATCAGAGCCCTAGGAAGGTGACACAAGCCTATACCGGATCTGATTCATCGAATCAGTCACAAGGCCGAGTAGCCTCCAACGGGCAGGAGCCGACCAAACCAGGTGGAATGGCCAACGCAAGTAGCGTGACACTCTCGGCTTTTGGGGACAATTCGCCTTCCCCTCCCTCGTCTGTCAACAAATCGAGAGGGGATGTGGTTGAGAAATCGAGACTAAATAGGCTATAGGGTGGACTTCATGTAGTTCATTGCAAGGGCGCAGTATATCAATTTGTTGAGGCTCTAATTGACGATCGACATGTCCTGTGTACGATCATGAATCGGCTTGCTATGCATGGCACTGTAATGTCACTGGTATATATAGTAATTCAGTCATGCAAGAGTGTCCATCTCTTTAATCTTCAACCGACAGGAATGCTGCACAAATACAAAAGGCGCCATATATATAAAAGACGATAGGAAGGGGATTGTTTCGTCTGATGATCTTTCTACTTTTCTTGTATCTCTCGTCACTATCTTTTGGAATGCAGGGAATGCTACTATCTAGAATGGAAACGTAACACGTAAAAAGCCTTCTCGTACATGGTCCCAAACATCGATTTCTTCTCCCCAAGCCCATCTCATCACCGATGATGTGCGTACTCTCCTCCATGATGGTACCCCTGCCCCTGCTGCACCGCCACCGGTCGCCCTTGAGAAGGCGCTGACCCCTGTGCCCCATAAAACGCCTGTCCTGCCGCCTGAGGAGGAGGGTATCCACCTTGAGGTGATGTCCTCCTCGGATCGTACTGTCCGCTCTGCTGAGCAGGCGGTCTCTGTGGACCCGGACTGGCCCACTGAGGCGGACTAGCACCAGGAGGTAAACGCTGAGGAGGCTCCCATTGTTGCCCTGGTGTTTGCGACTGATGCCCCGTAGGTGGCAAAGGTCTACCATATCCTTGTTGGGGGTAGCGTTGCTGAGAAGGATGGCCTTGATGCTGTTGCTGCTGGTGATGGGGATGCTGGAAGATCTGGCCAGGCTGAGGAGGCATACCTTGCTGGGCATTCAGAGGAGGAGGCGAGCGCGAATAGACCTGACCAGGCTGGGGCCCCGGGGATTGAGAAGGGCGTGGAGGAAAGGGAGAAGCCGGGCCGACAGCTTGGCCCTGCGTTTGCCCCTGGGCCCCTCCTGGGTATTGGAACAATTGACCCGGTTGGGGCCCGGCGTGGGCGCCATGATGGGACCTTGAAGCGTCGACAGGAGAGCGACCCTCGGTGACCACCCGTCTTTGTTGGCCTCCTTGTACCGGAACGGGTGCACCGAGGTTGGGGTTCGATAGCGTGCGCTGCCTGCTTGTATCTAGTCCTTGAGGTGGAGGGGGAGGACCAAAGGACGATTGGGGAACGCCCCGAGCCGCGCTAGGAATCTCCCTGTGATAGTTTCCCTCTGGAGACCTCGGCCCATTCAACCCAGGGCTGGGTGGCGAGATTGTTCTGGCCGGTCCACTCGGCGTCACCGACCTCTGCTGCTGGACATGGTGTTGCTGCTGCTGAGGCGCGTGATGGGCCTGATACGCAGGTTGAGCCTGTGACTGAGATGGAGGCGGGTGAGGCGAATGAGAGCGCATAGGCAGCTGCGCCTGAGCAGGCTGCTGCTTCATCTGCGCATGTCTCACCTCCTGCTCTACCTGTGCCGTCTGAACCCCATACTGTGGCGTCCTCACAGCCGCCTCGCTGTTGCGCCCATCCCTCGATCTCTCTGGCTTGATCAGGCCCGCCTTTTTTGCCGGAGACTGGGGGGAGGGAGACGAAAGCTGAGGTTCGATGTGAGGGGTGGTGTTGATGGGCTGCAAAGGGGGTCGATGTATGACCTGCCCTGGCTTGGCGGCCGTACCAACATCAGCAGGCTTTGGCGGAGTACCCTTGGCCACAGGTTTCGCCTCCTCCTTCTTCTCTTCCGCATTCGCCTTCTTCTCCTCCGTCACATTCCTCCCCAAGATGCCCAAGTACCAGAACATCAAGTTCGAAATGAGTACTTGCTCATACAGAGGACGACGAGCGTTGGCAAGCTTGATATGCGAGAGGCGATAGACTGCTCTTTCAACGTGGATAGGATATCGGGCGTAACTTTGGAAGCCGGGGGAAGTGGGTGACGGAGAAGGTGGCATGCCAGCCGACCTTGCAGACTTTGAACTACCCAGCAAGGCGGCGGCAGCAGCTCGCCCGTCGGCAGAAAAGTTGGATACCGGACTGGGCTCTTCCTGCTTCTTCTTTCCACCAAAGAGCGAACCAAGGAACCTGTCCTTGTCCTTTTTCTTCTTCTTGTCCTCCTTGTCTTCCTTTTTCCGTCCAAAGAGTTTACTCTTTTTCTCCTTCTCCTTGGTATTTGTGCTGCTCGTGGAAAGACCAGTATCGGTCCTTGTGAGAGTTGGAGGCTCGTAAGGAGTTGTGGAGATGGGGGCAAGTGCAGGAGTAGCAGCGGGCGCAGCAAGGGCAGGAGGGGCAGGAGGGGGAAGGTTGATTCGCTGTTGAGGAGGAGCCATCCCAGGAGGAAGTTCGTGCTCATTGGGCAACAGAGTGGATCGCTGCGTAGGTGTCACAGAGTCATCAAGTGAAAGGTTGTCCATTCCCGAGGCCACGGTATTGTCGGCAGTAGGTGTGCGCTCGTGCTCGGAAAACCAGTCCGTGGGTTCAGAGACGGGGGGGAGTGACATTTTCTTCTGAGGGGGAGATCGCTCAGGGCTCGGTGATGTCGAGGTGGAATGATCATGTGACGAAGAAGACAAGCTCTCCATCGGCTCGTGCGCGTAGGCATCAAAGATGTAGGCTTCGTCCGTAGAGTCATCCGAGTGTCTACGCTCTATATCTTGAGCGTCGTGATACTTTTCATCACCTTCGTAGCTCGTATTCTCGTCGCTGCCTCGGTGAGGCGAGTCCCCTGGGGATCCATAGTCGTCGTCTTCCAGACCGGGAATCTCGACCTGGGGAGCAGCAGTTGTACGACCTTTTCTAGTAGCGGCGAAGCGATGACCACCACCGTCGCCCTGCAGACCAGCTTTGCGAATCTTGGTACGTGCTGATCGACGAAGAATGGAGCCTGGTCGCGGCGCGACGAGAGGGGGTTCTGAGCCGTCTGGCAAGGGAACATCGTCTTGGAGGACTGTACAGTCGTTAGCAGCTATCCCGTCGAGATTGTATGGGTGACTCACATCCGGGGGCGACATTCATGCTCAAGCTTCTTCTCAACAGCTTTCTCATATCCTCGGGGTCATCCGTCTCATCCGTCTCGTCTACCAACTGCTCCAGCTTTTGCAAATCCTGCAATGTCAACCCTTTCTCTCCCGACTTGCCACCATAGATGCTCATAGGGCGTCTGCTAGGCAATGGTGGCCTTTCTTCCTCGACATTATCACCCGCCTTGGGCTGATATTGCCTACTCAGCATTGACCGTTTCCTTCCCAGCCCCTCCGAGCGCCTTGAGGGGTTTCTAGATAGCCACGACGACGACCTAGCCAGACCTTCAGCATCGCCAGCGTCATTTGCGTCCGCGTGGGTCGGGTCGGACGAGGTATGCGATTTCAGGAATGCGCGAAACTCCCCGGGGGCGAGTTCGGGATGGATATGCGCGGGAACCCAGAACAAACCTTCGCCGTCGAGACCGTCGCTGGAAGAGAGTGTCACATCGTCGTTGGAAGAGTATTCGGGGTGGTGCTCGTGTTGTTGATTGGGGGAAGGAGGCGGAAGGTCAGGGTCTAGTGGGAGCGCGCCCGGGCCAGCGGAAGTGATGGATCGTCGGCGAAGGTTTCTTCGTCGGGGCATTAGTAGTGAAAGGGTGTCGAGTCTGATAGCAACGGGCTCACCGTAGGGTCTGAATTTCGCGTTTGATCTCCTGGTCTGACACTTCACTGTTGGACATCTTGGCACAGGGTCGGGCGTGCGGGCGCTCGGAATGCAAGACGGCTGAGAGTTTTCGTGCCGCCTCCCGTTCGGACTGTGGGTCAGCGTTTGAGAGCGCTACTGGAGGGGTGGCGGAGGAAGGGGTGAGGGGGGCGGGAGGGGGCTGGGGGCGTCGCACGAGCCAGGGGCGGTGGGGCGTGGGGGCGTGGGCTGGTGTGGGCTCGTGGCGCTGTGGGGGCGGTGAGAGGGAGGGAGGGAGGAAGAGAGGAAGAGAGGAAGAGAGGAAGAGAGGAGATGCAAGCAAAGCAAGAGGCCTCCTCCCGCAACAGCCACAAGCGCAAGGACACAGGGACCCGCTGACGTGGACTTTTCCAACAACCACTTCTATTACGTGGCCCAGGTTTCTATGCATCGAGCGCCCTATACATGCAGCTCCCACCGCCAGTGCATGGCCCGGCAATGCATGCACTTCATGTAATCACGCATGCCAGCTGATCTGCCCACTGCTGAGACGGTTGCAAGGAAGCGCGTCCGGCCCTGGGATTGCTGGGCTGTCATTGTCGGAAGCGATCTATTGTCAGCGACGCCTTTCAATGGCCTGATCTGTCCTGGGCTATCTCGAGATCTCTACGGGTCATTTGCTCGCTCAATGCTATTCTCTCTGCGGCACATAGACGCGCGGACCTAATGTGTGACTTGGGCAATGCTCGATACTGTGCATACTTTTACACAGACTGATGCATATTTTATGATTGCTCAACTTGCTGGCACACAGTGCTCGGAATCAACGCCCGAATTCCCCCACCACTCCCACCCCTGCCAATTCCACAAAACTCCCCCAAAGAGAATGTAGATGGCTAACGCAGTGATAGACGTGCCGGCGTCGAGGGCAGAGGATATAACGTATATATATTGAGAGTGTATCTGGGGGTATCGTTTGGCGAACCAAGAGTTGACAAAGACTGCGGTAAGGAGAGAGGTGAGAATGATGTTGGTCGGGCTAGGCAGAGTCAGTCAGGTGCAGAGATGCTGGGCGAGGACTCACTACTGCGGGATGACTGTGGCTCCACTGCAAATGATGGGAAGCACGACATTGTTCAGCTTGTGCCTCGGCCACCTTCGATGAGCTAGCCATAGCCCCACTGGTACAACCGCTCCTACCAAGAACCCAAGATATAGCACCTCATACCCTCCACTAAAGAATCTCGCAGGCGCCACCGCTCCCCAAATGATACTTGCCGAATAGAAGATCGATGGAGCCCTTCCTGTCCACTGCGCTGTTGGGTCGACCAGGGCGCCGGTGAGGTAGGGGCGCTTGGAGGAGAGGACAGACTCGAGGGTGGCGTAGTTGACAAGGGCACCTATGACTGTGCCAATGATCTGGCAACAAAACATCTCGCGAGGGGGAATGGACGTGTACCAGCCCAGCTTGAGGTCGGATGTGAGGGCCAAAGCTTGGCTCATTGCCATGTCTGTAGGTGTATCAGTCACGGCAGCGTCATTATCGATTCACTAACAGCCATAGCATTTGAAAGTGACGCTGATTGGGATGAGCTCTGGCCATCTGTTTGTCGCACCTGCACTCACTTGCCGACGGGCTTCCCAGGCATCAAGATACCTGCCACACTACACCACGGTCAGTTTTGAGGTCTCGGCGTTCCGTATCTACCAACAATTCTGTGAGGACATTCTATGCTGCGTGTCAGTGGACTAGCGAGCACGAGTTGTAAGACTTACCAAGCCAATCTGTGTATTGCTGACAGCCGTAATGATGCCGACACTTTTGCAAGTCAGCTCGGTAGACTTTTGCAATATACATTGGAACCTCACGGGACAAGGAAAACCTATGACCCCATCAGCTCATTTTCAGAAACCAATAGTCACAACCTACAGTAGCGATGGCCATGGCTAGCATCAGGGCCCAAATGGGCATCTGGAGAGGTGTAGTCTTGACCAGTATCACTTTACTGGAGTGTCAGTCCGGGTCTTCTGGCGGGGGATACCTTACCTGCAGCACCAAAGTTGACAGCAAGGAGACCCAGATACCAAGATGACGGTACAGCTCGATAGGCCCGCATCAGTTTGCTATACAAACATTAGTATCGGGTGGGAAAGACCGAAGGGAGACTACTTGTGCGCGTCGTTCAGTTCTGTGCGATTGGAAAGCGCTAAGTGGTCGTTAGCTTTGAAACCTTGTGGCGAATTCTAGATACCATCTTTGATCTCATCTCTGTGCCAAAGCCATACGTGAACCAGCACGCTCGAAAGCGCTGCGAACGATATCCCATAACTTAGCGCACTGTATGGTCGTCAGTTTGATTCTACCTAGCCATCAAGACCTTCTCACAAGAATGGTGTCAGCAGCAAAGGCTTTTGCATCTCAAACGCCACTTCGTCCAGGGACAGGTCAGGCTTGAGGATGGAGGTGACGTCGAATTTTTGGAATGTAGAGTTGAACAAGCCTGCAGAGACCGGTGTGGGAAAGTCTCGGGCGTTCCAAAAGTTGGTAAACAAGATGATAGGAGTGATCTGCGCTGATGAGCGTCGTCTGCTGATATCCCACTTACAACCCAGATCATCCCGACAAGCCCTCCGAAGTAGTTGCCCAGTGCCCAGTAAGGCGTATACAATGGCCCTGACGACCCCACGCTACTCCAATCAAAACTGAAATCCCCCATCCCCAGCCCCGAATAAGCACTCCCTAGTGTCCTAAACCACCAGCTCTCATTGTCCACCAGACACAACACCGACACGCTCGTCAGGGTTGGAAAGAGGAGAAAGGGGAGGAATTGGTAGAGGAAGATCACGAGAAAAACAAACATGAAGAGGCGAAGGCGGGAGCGGGTGAGGAGCTTTTGGGCGGAAGAAAGGGAGACCGAGGTGGAAGAGTAGAGAGTGGTGAAGAGCTGGACAGTGACAAGAGTGGAAGGCCAGTACATGGCGGGAGGGGAGACGAGGATGTTCTGAAGCATCCCTGTGAATGGTCAGCTGGGTTATATGGCGTGTAATTAACTTGCCAGCAAGACCAAAGCCTATGCACTGAGTGGTCAGAAGGAGCATGATGGAGGGAATGCGTGAGAGGGGCGTGTCGAAATAGAGGTCCATGATGGCAAGAATATCAGCAGCATAGGCCGAAGACGCCCCCGAGGATGAGAGCACGCTGACGAGAATTGCCTCTTTGATACTAAATTTGCCAGGGTTGAGTTGCCACCCGAATATTGTCTTGCCTCTTCGTATCAACCTTTCGTTCGCCAACAGATGACCCAGCGGATACGTTGCCAGGATGACAAAGTAGGATGAAAAGGAAGGGGCGTTACTTTTAAAGTAGAAGATTTGAGAGGCACAAGCTCCTAGAGCGCAGAAGGAGATGCCGAGGACCAGCACGCGTAGTGTCAGAGTCGGCAGCGATGGATCGTCGTGGGATGGCACCGTCTACACAGGTCAGCTTTAGCAGTCCGTCCGTTGACGAGGAGATACTTGCCTTTGCTATCAGCTGTTCCACCTTTCCGCCCTTGCCCACCACCTCTTCATCCTGTGTCCGCCGTATATATGATGCTGGGTCCTCGTCCAAGTCTCCCTCGAGATCCTTGTCTGCTGCCTCGGGATCAAGCAACCTAGCGTCTTCTGGGTCGTCGAGACTGGCCTGTTCTTGGCTGTAGCGTTTGGCGGAGGGGGAGATGGGGGGCAGCTCGTAGGCCTCAGCACGGGAGTAGTCTGCAGGCATGGCGGGTGGCTCCTGGGGAGAAGAGGGGCGGGTCAATTGCAGCTGCCTCGGAGAGACACGTGACTGACGCGCTCGACGGCTTTCCTCAGGCACAGCCGCCGGCCTGCTCTTACGTAACTCAGTCACGTGCGAGAGCCACCATCATGATTTTTGAGAATGACGCTCAGAGAACAACACCAGAACTCGCACCATGGCCAGGTCCAAAAAGTCGTCCAAGGCATCCGCCGCCGCCCCCTCCCCCGCCCAGGCCCACCAGTACGACCCTGCCACCCTCATCGGTAAGCACACCCTCCCTCCTGCCTCCTCGCTCATTCCGGCATAGAAAAGGCCCACATCCTCCTGGGTCAATCAAACTTTGAGTTGGCCATCAAGTTTCTCGAACGCGTTCTCGAGATTGACCCGAAGAATCTCGAGGCCAGGGAGCTAGTCGGTATCGCCGAGCTCGAAGCTGGCGACCCCGACGTCGGCCGGCAGCACCTCCTCGAACTCCTTCCTCCCCATACACCCCAAGCCCCGGAACATGCTTCTCCCTATCTCTATCTCGCACAGTGTGCTCAAGATCCTCAAGAGGCCCTGGGATACTACACGACTGCTACCGCGATGCTGGAGAAGAGAATAGGAGAGAAGGACCAGAAGGGGAAAAGTAAGGTGGCCGAGGACGGACAGGAGGCGGAAGAAGACGAGGAGAGAAAGACGGTGGTGAATGCGTTGGTTGCAATGATTGAGATCTGGATGTCAGACTTGTGGTATGTCATATATGTGCCGCGTGACCTCGACTGACATTCGATAGCATGGAGGAGGCTGCCGAGCGAAATTGTGACGCCTTGATCAGCCGCGCACTCTCTGTGCTTCCCAATGACCCGGAAGCACGTCTCTCCCTGGCAAGTATCAGGATGTCACAATCCAGATTCGACGAGGCCAAGGAGGTCGCCGTTGCTTTGTATAATGATTTCGAGGGACGTGAGCCTTGTAAGTTTTGCAATATCCCTCGCGACTACATCTGACCGTCTACCAGTCGACCCCATACTACCACCTCTACCTGTCAGGCTCGCGCTCTCCCGCCTGCTGCTTGAACACGGCGAACACCTTCCAGCCCTCGACATTATTTCCACCATCCGGGAAGAGGACACCCTGCTCGTCGAGGGTGCCTACCTCGAAGGATGGGCACTCTATCTTCGAGCCGAGGCTATCACTGAGAACCCCGCTCTTTTACAAGTGCCCCCGTCTGCGCCCAAGGAAGAAAGACAAGAGGACGAAAGCGAGGAGCCCATGTCTGCGGAAGAGTGTTTGTCCGAAGCTATGCGTTCGCTCATAGAATGCGCCAGACTGTTTACCGATGAAGACTATCTGGATGAGGGAATTGGAGCACATGTGGCGGAGCTTTTGGAAGAGTTGGAGAAGAAGGGCATCGTGCCTGCTATCGGGGACGAGGAGGAGGGCGAGACCGAGGACGTGGAAATGGAAGAGTAGATCAGCAATGTAGTGATTATTATGTATGCTTCTTCCTCTTAGCTTTGCGCATACAATCGCGTCACATTCATATACCATACAAATCTCTTCACGACACTGTCTGCCTAGGCCTCAATCTTCTTCAGATTGGGGTGCAAATGGGGATCACTCTGAAGGACCCTTCCGACAATCTTCTTGATGACCTCTCCCTTGTTCTTTTCAACCGAAGAGTCGAGGTTGGTGAGCTGGGTCTTGGTGGTGCTGTCGATGTTGGTTTGAGAGGAGGTGGTTTGGGACGTGTGCTACAGAAAGGTCAGCCAGGTTCCGTGCGGCGGGGGATGAGGGTCCGCTACATATGTGCTATACGCAGGCAGACAGGGATCAGAGATATTCACTCACGTCTGATTCAAACTTGTTGAACTCTTCCTCCTTCTTCGCCTTGTACGCTTCGATCTCTTTGGCAGCCTCGGATCTAGCGTCCTTTAGCTTCTGGACTCGGTCTGTGGTACCAATCGATCAGTAGACATTCATACGCGCCAGGCGTCTTGGGTAACCCTGTAGATAGGACGTACACTGCCTGGCCTTCTGAACGACCTTGGAAGCCTCCTTCTCGGCTTCGAGCAGGGTCTGGATACCTTGAGAGTTGGCGGCCTGCAGACAGTCAGCTCGGGCAGTTCCTCGTGCTTCCATGTCAGCACCCACCATGATGACTGGATGATCTATGGGAGATGAAAGGAGTGGACGGAGGCGACAGCAATGTCAGAGGTGATGCGCGGGGAGCTGGCGCGGGGATGTCCGCCCGGGAGCAAACAAGAAGACATATACTTTACTCGTACTCTACATTCTTGAACAGAGTACCATAGCACCATGTCGTTGTACGCAGACGACGACCCCACCAAGGCCCTCGCCCTCCAGGACACAGACGAGAACCCCGCCCTTCACCCCCCCACAGACCCCCAGCAGCTCTTCAATGCCGCCGTCGCCGCAGAGCCAGAGTCCGCACACCAGCATGACACCCTGCTTCTCGCTGCCCAGAGGTTCGAGGAACACCCGGAAAGACTGCCACAGCTTCTCCCCCAGTTTCTTGGATTCATCAGCGAAGGCGGCGACTCGCTCTTGAGGTTTTGGACACTCGACATGATCCATCTCGCGGTGGGGAGGGGTGGACTGAGTGGAGATGTCAAGCAACTCGGTAAGTTGACTTTGCCTGAGCGAAACACTGGCTCACCATCTCTAGTGACACTGCATTGCTTCCCGCGTCTATTGCAGCTCCTTCATACCGGCTCGATTCCTACTCTGAAAGCCGTCATCCCCATCCTCTCGACGATCTACCCCGTCCTCTTTGGCATCCTCGCTACTTCCAATACGCAAGCATCGATCCTGCAAATGTTCAATGACATGAAATCAATCATCATTGATTTTGCCCTCAACAAGTCGGGTCAGTCTGGCAATGTTGGTGTGCGGGCGGTGGCATGGAAGTTTGTTCAAAAAGTCATCTTGGCTGCTACGAAACCTGCGACTTCTGGCGATCCTCGAGTGAGTAGATTCCCTTTGCGTGATTGTTGGCTGACCCTTGTTGCAGCTACAATCACGAGGGTCCTCGGTCACAGACACCAACATCTCCCACATCACGCAGACTGGCATCCTGTCGCAAGCCGAGATTGACCAAGAAGGTAAAAAACTGCAGACCGAACTGGTCACTGCACTCTACACACAAACGGAACCTGCCATCCTGCACCCCATCATCAATTCCTTTCCGTATCTCGCCAAGATGCGCCAGTCGATCGCGCCGCTTGTCGTCCACTCACTGGCGAGCTGGAAGCCCAACACGATGGCCGCCGAGGGTCGTCCCGCCATCGAGATACGAGCGGTGGAAAAGACTGTCAGAATAGCAATGACCCACCTCATACGCCACCCTCCCATCGCTTCGCACGCCGCTCAGCTCAACGATGCCCTGTTGAGGCAAAAGAAACGTATGGAGGACGCCTTTGTGGAGGAAGCTGCTGCCCGCAAGGAGCGACGCCGGGGGACAAAGCATCCCATGGAACCTCCAGCTGGGGTGGATCCCGAGTCGAGCGAGCAGGCGGCAAAGAGAGCGAGGCTGGAGGGCAGTGCAGGGGGCGTTGGTAGCGGCGTTGGGAAGGGGCCGGTTGTCGATATCAGTGGGATGGGGGTGGAGGAGGTGGTGGAGACTGTCATTAGCGGGCTGAGGTCGGTGAGCTCGCAGACGCTTGTCTCGGCGCTTGAAGTAAGTTTTCTTTTTGTGGTGAGAAAACAATGCTGACCGTGGCGATAGAATGCAAGACAAGCTCTGCGAGAAGACTCGTTGGATGCGCAACCACTTTTGGCCACTTCATTAGGGGTAGCGGCTGCCGGCGGGGTCAAGGCGGAAGATGAAGAAATCGTCAACCCGTTGGATATCGAAGATGATGATGACTTGCTCATGGTGAGTCGTCTTTCAAGATGGCTGTGGCTGACGCGTCGCAGATGGACGACCCAGAGCTCGTTATTGAAGAAGAAGAGCCAACGACATTCACCGACTTTGTGTTGCCGCCTCCAGAACCTCTCGATCCGTCAGACAAGGATTACATTCTTTCCAATACTATTGAACGGATATGGCAGTCGGGCGCCGATCTCGCAAGTCTACCCGATCCCAAGGAAACAGATGCGGCCAAGACTGCAATTCAGCCGAAAGAAATGTGGATGCTGTTGCTCGCCCGGCTGGCGACAAGAGGTGCAGAGGTCAAGAGAAAGACCATTTCCGAGTTTGTTCTTGCGGATTTCGCAAACCGGTCCAAGTTTGCGTCCGTGTGGTTGAATGAGGAGTGGTACAATGAGAGGATCGGGGTCTCGGAGCCAGGGCAGTATCTGTCGAATCTGGAGGCCATCATATCGGTATACCTCCCCAAAGTCGACCCCAAAGACAAGTATCTGGCGACATTTATCCAGAACCTCCCGGCCATCCCGCCTTCCCTTATCGACATCCTCGCAGACGTTTGCCAGGATTCCGAAAAGGCCGTCGTGGGCTTTACGGTGCTGCGTGATATCGTCGAATCGCGTCCTCCCATACGAGAGCAGGCTCTGCAGACGCTTCTAGCTCTGTGCACCCACACTGATAGAAAGATCCGTGTGATGGCAATCATCACGACCGTCCGGCGATGGGGCCAGAATTCACCCATGATGCCGATCATCACAAAATATGCGCTGAGCGTGCTCTGGAGGTTGGTTGAGGCTAAGCCGGAGGTAAAGATGGAGGCAGTGAAAGAGGAGGGTGGCGAAGTCGAGACCGAGGAGCAAATCGGTGAATCTGCCGAGACGGACGTCGAGATGAAGGAAGAGCAGCCAGAAGAGGAAGGGTCAATCGATAGATATCTGGAACAGCCGAGCGCGCGCACTGTGCAGCAGCACGTCGAGCTGGCCTTTGCGCTCGCCAAACGTCAACAAAGTCTACTCGACGACATTTTCAAAATCTATCCCCAGCTCATCCCCGAGGTGCAAAAGGCCGTCGAGGCGCAGTTGATGCCCCTCATCCAATCTCTGGGAGCTACCCCCAAGCTGATGGAGATTTTGAAAAAGTTTCCCGCTGGCGCCGACCAGTTGGTCATGCGTGTCATCGGTGTGCTCAGTGCGGAAGGTGCGGGGCAGGTACTGGTGTCCCTCGTCAAGAGCGTTCTGGCAGAGAGAGAGCTAGACCCCAAGTTTGTGATACCCATCGTGGGCGAGCTGGACAAGGTGAGTTTCTCAACACGCGTCAGGCCACGAGTAACGAGTATGCAGGCCGAGATCGAAAAGCAGCTGCCTAAAATCGTGTCTATTCTGGTGGACCCCGAGACGAAGGACATGGTCAAGACGGCGTTTGCCTCGATGCTGCAGAAAATGACCCCGTCCGACTTGATGGTCGCGTTGCATCAGGAAGGCGGCGCCCCATTGAAAGAAATCATCGAGGGTGAGTTTACTTGTCTGTACGAGGCGGCGCTGACTGTGATCGATAGCTGTCAAGGTGTGCTTTTCGATGACGACCGTGTTTCGGTCTGACGTCCTGGCGAATGCGATGAACCGGATTGCGGATCTGCCCACCATTCCCCTGATCTTTGTGCGGACCATCATCCAGGTGGCCAACACGTACAAGTCACTGGCGCCATTCATTGCCAACCACATCCTGCCAAAGCTGGTGGCGAAGAAGATATGGGAAAACGGACAGCTCTGGGACGGGTTTGTGATGCTGGCGAAGCGGATTGCACCGGCGAGCTATGGGGCGCTTCTGCAGCTGCCGAAGGAACAGATCCGGGAGGTGGTGGGGAAGCAGCCGAGCATGAAGGCGGGGCTGAAGAATTTCCTTGCGAGCAAGCCAGGCAGCAAGGGGGCGCTGCTCGAGGTGCGTGATTGTTCCTGGGAATTGAGGCTGAACTCTAGCTGACGCGGGGGCAGATATTTGGGGACGACGAGTGATGGATGTTGTAGCAGATGGCAGAACATGAACCTTGTCGGCAATGGATGCTCCCGGGGCAAGAATGAGTTGTATACGCTTGCATGCGGCCACAACGGCGCATGGGCGGGGCTGACGAGAGCCGTCCGGTGTTGCCAGTGCATGCTGATGGCTCGGATCCCAGCGACTGCGCTAATAGACATACATATCAGACTGATGCATAGGCGGGCCGGGCGACAATGATCCTGCGTGGCGACGGCCTCGATGCTGAGTCTGTGCACGAGAGCGACGCCAAGGCGGGGACGACTCCGGTGATGGTGGCGTCTTCTGCACGCTGTCCCCCCGTGGCCATCGAACATTCCCGTCCCGCTCGCCGCCTGCCCCGTGCCCGGCGGGCGGTACTCGCGGCACTCGCGCACTCGCTGCTCTGGACTGTACCCCCTTTGGTTCCCGTGTGCGCGACGAGTGTTTGAGAGTTGCAAGGACAAGCACGCCGCGAGGCCACGCCCTGCCCCCATCCCGCGGCATGCTGTATATATTATATTCCCTGCAGATTTTCATCCTCTGCTTTAACGACTCCCGACGCTCGCAGGCCACAGCATCCATCCGTGTGGCTCATTAACTCACTCTCCAGCCGCTCCTTTGTTCAACAACCACTCCCAGTCCCTTTGCAGCAGACAGCTCTTCAAGCCGTTACCATTACCAGCGATCAGTAAGTGCCTCCCAGAATCCTCCGATCCATACTCACCCCCTCCGCCATACCCAGTTATGCCCCACAGCAACCTCCCAGCACACTTCAACCGCATCCTCGACCACCAGTACTTCTTGTTTCCTCCCTCCTCCATGCGCCACCGCAACCCCAACCTCTCCTCCAACACTCCCTACCTCTCCCCGCAATCCCAGCCGGGTGACTTTGACGACGGGTCTCTTCCCCAGCTGCCCTCCACCCAGCCCACCATGCCAGAGGGCGCAAAGGTGGCGCCTAGAGGGTGCCAAACAACCTCACCCTACCTCTCGCCTCCGCACACCGCCGAGCGCTCTCTTGCCCCTTGCCTTCCTACCCCCCAGGTCTCGAACGCCCGCCATGGCGAGCAGGTGAATCATTTTCCCTTTTACCACACGCACCCATCCAGCTGGGAGAATGTCGGGCAGTATCGACATTCAGCTGCTGCTATACAGCCTTGGTCGAGCCCTGTCCCTAGCACACCTGGGCCATCCCACCCTGCCGAGACGTTTGCGTCTGTCGCTGCCCCTTCTACCCAGCCGTCATACCATCAATGGGGATACCCCATGCCTGAGACGATATTGCCTTTCGACTACTCTCACCAGAACGTAGCGACCGTTCAAACGTCATCCACTGTTACCAAGAGAGATGACTCGAGTGCCCCCAAGAGGGAGAGCAATGCGTCGAGCCCGTCCGACGAAGGCCTAGTCACCAAAGGCGGGTGTCATCCATGGTTCGCGCCTCCCTTTTCGCCTTTGCAACACTGACATGCTCTAGTGCCATTTGTGCCAAACGATTCACACGGCCATCGGCCCTGTCAACCCACATGCATACGCATACTGGCGAAAAGCGTGAGTCTTTTGATCTTTTTCATCCTAAGCTCATCCTCGGCTCAGCGTTCGTTTGCCCCATCTGTCTTCGAGACTTTTCCGTCCAATCCAACTGCAGACGACACGTTCGCGTAAGTCGCAACTCTGTACTCGTGCTCGACTGACCAGCGCCCAGCAGACACACAAAGCCAAGGATGCTCGTGCCAGACTCGAAGCTGAGGAAGCTGCCAAACGCAACGGAAGCCTCTATCCTCCTGGTACACTTCCCCTCAGTCTCGCTCCGTCCAACCATAGCGTGGCATCGTCTTCTCAGTCCCGCAACAATACCTCTCCCATCTTTCCACGTGACACCGCTTCCATGTATGGGTCGGTGCCCTTTGCTGGAGGATTATTCCAAAGCGGATCGACGACGACGTCGACAGATCTGCAACCTGCTGTGGACCCCAGGGCGGCCGGTGGGTCGAGGGGCAATAGACGTGAGCCGCGCGATAGACGTAAACCTTATTAGTATCGAGATCTGCAGGGTAGGGGTGCGACGACAGAGATCTGGAAGAGAACCTCTCTTGACATTCACAATTATACATTCGGAAGCGGTAGGAGTTGATCATATTATATGCCGGCGGTCTGTAGCTTTAGCAGATAGTTTTCTCAGGGGCGAGTCTCGTCCAAGATTATACATTATAACGTATGCCATGTCATGCCCCACAACCTCTCTCAACAGTCATACATGGGCCGATGTCAAGTGTGTAACCGTTGTCGGCCGTCCGCACATCAAGAAAGGCGGCTGCCAGACGCAGGGGAAACATCGTCGGCTCGCTCTCTTGGGTAGAGAGCTACCATCGATCAGTACACTTATGTACGACTTTCCACGCTCTTGGCGATTCCTCATCGGGCTGTACTGCAAAGCTTACCCGACGCTAGGTTGCTCCTCGCTAAGTCGGATATACTACCCACGGCCCACGGCCTGCCGTGTCATAATAGAGAGGTAGCATTGGCATGCTTTACAACGTAAGACAGGGGTCTTATGCATATATATAGCTAGAATGTATCCAGTGCAGCATGATCACATGCATCAAAGGTCACAGATCTCGTTTATTGTGACTTGACTGCATCCCCATATGTATCCTTCATCATGCTCGCCAAGCACCTATTCGTGGCCACCGTGTCCGCTGCCGCCGCCATGGCTAGGCCCTTGCTCAATATCAAGAGGGACGACTTTGGTCTCGAGTGGATGACCAAGGACGGATCATCTTCCTCTCTGCCCAAGATTGTGTACATACCCGTCTTGAGTTCCGGCGCCCTTCTGACACCCCACAGTCTCTATGATACCGGCCTACCATCGTTCAAGCATCCAACTACTCTCGTCTCGACAACATCAATTATGGCGACGGCGTTTCTCCCACAGCCCAGGAGCTCGTCAGCAACTATAGCGAGATTCTCGACATCGCGCAGATCGCCTTTGTCCATTTCCCTGCATCGAGCGACAGTGCGGGGCTCAACAGTACCGTCTTTTTCAACTTCAGCCAAGCTGCGCATCAACATTTGTGCTAGCCCGATTCAGAGATTGCCGGAGCGGTTTTGATCGGAGATGAGTACTCGATATGCTTTTTGATATCGTGACTGACAGGCTGTGAAGGTACAAACACCCTTAAAGACACGGTATGTATCTCTGTCACACGTAAGCTCGGCCGTGACAATCTCATTTCGATATCCTTTACCCTCGCTAACACCTGATTGTTCTTTGCTGTCGACCTCACTCTCAACTGTTCCAAGCCGTTCGTCGCGACAGGTGCTATGCGTCCTTAGACTTACATCTCTCATGACGGTCCTTCCAACTTGTACCAGGCCTTCGCCGTGGCCGCCGACCCTAAGGCTTGGAGCCGCGGAGGTCTCGTCGTATTCAACGACCGCATCTCGTCTGCCTTTTACACCATCAAGACGGACGGCAACACTATCGATACTTTCAAGGCACTGGGGCAGGGCAATTTGGCAGCCGTACTGGTTCTTTGAGCCCAGCTATCCAGTGGCGAGGGGGCACTTCGACCTGCAAGCGGCCGGATTGACTAGCGGAGACGAACTCCCTAGTGTCGTGGTACTGTTTGGTTCTCGTGAGTCATATTACACCCGGTCACATCAAGCTGATAATTCTATAGAGGGCTTTGATGCATCCTTGATGTACGCTGCTGTCGCCAATGGAGCCAAGTAAGTCAAAACCTGCTTTATTCTACCATGCTCATATTGTATCAGGGGCATCGTGGTCCAGGGATCCGGTGCAGGCAAACTCTCACCCAACGCTGTGACTGCTGCAGCCGACTTGAAGGAAAAAGGCATCCCCGTGGTCGCCTCTCTCCGACCCGTCACTGGTGCTTCGGTCCCCCCACCTTATGTGACCTCGTAGTGAGTCACTGCTTGAGCCCCAACACGAAGAAGCTGAACCCTTTTAGCATTTCGTCTGGGTACATGCAGGCCGACAAGTCCAGAGTCCAGCTCCAGCTCTGCCTTGCAGTCGGAGCGGGATGGGATGGGTGTCAAGAAGCCTTTGAAAAGGACATGCGTGAGGCGATCTACAACCGTGTCACCACATACTACTATTAGGCGACTGATCGTAAGCGTGGTGTTTGGATAGAGTGCTGTACAAGAGTCAACTCTTGAGTACTTGGTGAGGGTAGAAAAGTATAATAGATTCAAAACGTTATTTATAATGAGCCTTGCGTAAATCATGTATAGATGCAGCAAGCACATCACTGACCAAAATCGAACTTTGACTTGGAACCACGAGGCAATAGAAGATCAGACAGCCGACGCAAGCCAACTTTACGTCTACCCAGCTTACCATGCCTCGGTCCCTACTCTCTCTCTCTTTTCCACTGGCCGCGGCCATGCCTAGGGCATCGCTTGTGGACTCGTCTGGGCAGCGTCAGCGAGCGCCAATCATACAGTACGAGTACATAGATAAGAGTCTTCGGCCATCCGCGACGGCGGCCGGTTGTACCTGAGAATTCAAGACGCCGAGACACCGGCATAGTGAGCGAAAAAAGATCCTTGAACCACGTTTATACTTGCCGTTTCGGGTAGAACGCTTTCGGCTCTGTATAGCTCGACATGTCCTTGTTGCCAATCAGACAGGGGGTTCTGCCAGACGCTAGATTGCTTGCCAAGGCAGATAAGGACCCAAAAGGTGATTGGACACTTCGATGGTACCGCTGGACATGCCCGCCTTATAAAAGGGGGCCAAAAGGGTGACTCGAATCCCCCAGCTGTGCTCATCAAACCACCATGCTCGCTAAACATCTCTTACTGGCCGCCGCATCCGCTGCTGCCGCCATTGCCAGCCCTTTACTGCACATCAAAAGAGACGACTTTGGTCTCGAGTGGATGTCCAAAGATGGAGCTTCTCCGCTGCCCAAGATCGTGTACGTACCTTTCTTACCATTCTCGACACCACTCTGATATCAGAACAGTCTTTACGATACCGGTGGTACTATTGTCTCCGCGTCCAACTATTCTCGTCTCGACAATATCAACTATGGCTTCGGTGTCAATCCCACAGTTCAGGAGCTCATCAGCAACTATAGCGAGATCCTCAACATAGCTCAGATAGCATTTGTCAAGTTTCCTACTAGTGGCGGGAGCTCGGGGCTCAACAGTAGCACCTATTTCAACGTCAGCAAAGCTGCGAATGAACATTTGTGCTCGCCTGATTCAGAGATTACCGGAGCAGTGTTGATCGGAGGTGAGTACTCGATATGCTTCTTGGTATTGTGACTGACGGCTTTCGAAGGTACAAACACCCTTGAAGACACGGTATGTATCTCATTTCGATATCCTTTACCCACGCTGACACCTGATAGTTCTTTGGTGTCGACCTCACTCTCAACTGCTCCAAGCCATTTGTTACGACAGGTGCTATGCGTCCTCAGACCTACATCTCTCATGACGGCCCCTCCAACTTGTACCAAGCCTTTGCCGTTGCTGCCGACCCCAAGGCTTGGAACCGCGGAGGTCTCGTCGTATTCAACGACCGCATCTCGTCTGCCTTTTACACCATCAAGACGGACGGCAACACTGTCGATACTTTCAAGGCACTGGAGCAGGGCAATTTGGGTACTTGTTTGGGAGGCCAGCCGTACTGGTTCTTTGAGCCCAGCTATCCAGTGGCGAGGGGACACTTCGACCTGCAAGCGGCCGGATTGACTAGCGGAGACGAACTCCCTAGTGTCGTGGTACTGTTTGGTTCCCGTGAGTCATAATCACACACTATGTTGCACCAAGCTGATATCTATTCAGAGGGCTTTGATGCGTCCTTGATGTACGCTGCCGTGGCGAATGGTGCCAAGTGAGTACACCCGCTTTTACTGCTTATGCTGATATCGTATCAGGGGTATTGTGATCCAAGGAGCTGGTGCTGGTCAACTCTCGCCCGACGCTGTTGCTGCTGCGACCGTCTTGAAGGAACAAGGCATTCCTGTGGTTGCCTCCCTTCGACCCGTCACGGGCGCTTCCGTGCCTAGACCATACGCGCCATCATAGTGAGTCAATGATCGGGTCCCGGAAAGGAAACGTTGATATAACGATCTGTAGCATTTCGTCTGGTTACATGCAAGCGGGCAAGTCTAGGATCCAGCTCCAGCTCTGTCTTGCAGTCGGAGCGGGATGGGATGGGTGTCAAGAAGCCTTTGAAAAGGACATGCGGGAGGCTATCTACAACCGCCTTACCACGTATTACTTTTAAGTAGCGAGCTTGGTGCTCAGGACAAAACATACGTCAGCGTTCGGATAGACACCAAAGTTGGTGGGCCCAGCTGAAGAGGTAGAGGAGATTCAAATGAGCGTTACAATAAGTAAGACTCGATAATGCATGACTGTAATAAGCAAGTCACTGGCGAGTGAGGAGGAACACTGTGATGTTTAGAGTACTCATCGTATAATTGAGATGACGAGAGAGCAACCTCTTCTTGTTGGTCACCACGTCAAGTTGTCTCAGCGGCCCCGCCAGCAACTTTTTAGGCCGCGAGCCGGGACCGAAGAAGAGTCGGTCACTGCCGAAAGATTGTACCGAACTCCAACGGTATCCCGAAAAGTCCGACACTTTAGGTGCACATATGTACTATGTACATACAGCCAATAAGCTCGATTGCTCATATGCCGCAAGTCCAGAAGGTGGTCAAGCTGACGCCATGTAGTACATACACGCAACCAACCTCAGCTCTGGACATGGGGCTTGCATCTCCAGATTAGCCACGTATTGATATCCACACATAGGCGGCTGAAAGGGTCAAACGAGGATAATTCCGACCCATGTGGAGCCCTGAGTTTTCCCTGTAAACATTAGGAGCCCTGCGGCAGAGGCGTGTGGGGCAAGCATGGGGCCTAGGGGAGCTGGGGAAGCGAAGCGGAGAGGGTCTGAATCTGAAATACCAATCGTCGGCCCGCCACGGCCAGGATGAAAGGCAGATGCAGATCAGAGTATGCAACAACGATGTAATGCCTGCCCGCTCTCTTTCTCTTTCCTTCCCACCGTTCACAGCCCCCTCCCCCCTTGACTGTTTACCAACTATTCTCTACCGGCTCAGAAAGCTAGCGCCGAGGTACTCGCAGAGAGAGCACTGTCACTCGAATCATCGCACATCGGCTTCATAGTCGGCAACATACCCACAGCTTCTCACGACAGCCTCTATTGTAGCCTGTCGGATCAGCCAGAACAAGTCACTGGATACACATCCATCTATCAAGCAAGGGCGATCCGAAGCCACGCTCGAGCGACTCTAGAGAACCAGAAGGGTAAGTCCCGGCACTCTTCCGTATCGTTGTATACACGGGCACGAGGCTGATCAGACACTCTCTCCGTCCCATCCACCGTATCCATCTTCCCACCGCGACCCGTCCTCCTGTGTTCTTCAATCACTCACATGTTCCACGGAAATACCTCGACCCTCTGTTGTTCATGTGCTGTGTTCTTTCTCCCCGGCTATCGGACCGTTCGTTCCCTGCCCCACATCCCACAGATACTCCGGCGACCACAGCCCTCCCGCCACACTGAACATCCAGGCGGCACTGGCGCTCTCGTCCGAGAGGTCCTTTGCCCTGCAGGCCGCCACGCCTTTGCAGCCCGCGCGCCTTTGGGGTGTTTCGCCATCTTCTACTCCTTTTCTCCCCCTTCTCGGCACGGAGCCTCTCTGCCGCCACCTTTCTGCCCCAAAGTAGCGGCGACCGCCCCTCCTCTCTCCTCCACCAGAAGCCATCCAAAAGAAGGGCGTCTCTCGAGAAGGCTATCCTCCAGACCTTGTCGTCTGCTCCCCAGCTCTACCAGCCCCGTGGCGCCGACCCCACCGGGACTCTTCTGCGGGCTTTTCGCCTACTCGAGCTTCAGCTTAGCCACTCATAAAGGGCTCCCCACCTCCCCACACCCCGCTCAAACCGCACACTCGTCTTTCCAGCCTCTTCATGACACTCTCCTTCCCTGTCCCGCCATCAGACGCCCAGTCCGCCCCCTCATCACCGCCTACCAAACGAGCAAAACTGCAAAACTACCCGACCCAGCCTCGCGCATCAGAATCGTCCCCCGTAAGCCCCACTACCGTACCCTCGTATCCCTCGCCGGCATCGATGGACAATCTCTCTGTGCCACAGAGCGAGTCGTCTCCTACACAGCACCAGGAGACGTCAGGACGGCAATTTGCTGTCCCAGCAGTCCGTCGACGAGAATCATTCCATTTCTCGGGTGAGAGACCGCACCCGCCTGCCGCCGGTGCCAACCATAGCCTCAGTGGCCCCATGCCGACGGTGCGTCTTTTGGGCACGCCCTCGGACAAGGGAAGCCCTGCACTATCAAGCAGATTGCCAACGGTCGACAAGGAAGAGTTGACTACCAAAGGTCGAAAAAGAAAAAGACTTGCAAAAGCTTGTAGCGCTTGTCATGTGGGTTGTATCATCAGCCTCGGGTTTCATCATCTGACGATAGCCGTAGAAGAATAAAAGGCGTTGCGACGGTTTCGCACCATGTTCGAATTGCGAATTCTCAAACCGTCCGTGTCAATATGTCAACGCTCAAGGAGAGCCTATCCCCCCTCCTCGAACCCGAGATTCATCTGCTAGCGTTCCTCTCAAGAAGGATGGTAGCAAATCTGGTTCAAATGAAACGTCAAGTATCAGCCTCGGCCACGAGAGGAAGGCCAGTGGCGAGAGTAGCCATTCTCAACAGGGAATGGGCGATCCAGAGTACGAGATGCGTAGAAAACCGTCGGTCGGGCCCCTCCAGATAGTGGAGATGGACATCAGCCTGAGTGCCGAGCTCGTTGATAGTGAGCAGCATTGTGTGACCACCTCTTTGGCGCTGACTCTGTGACAGTCTTCTTCAAAAGATGCCTCCCTCTTCCGATCATACTACACCTTCCCACCTTCAACTACCGCCTCTACCTCAATCAAGTATCCCCGGTTCTGCTAGACGTAATCTACGCATTCGCTGCTCGCCTCTGCGAGAACCCGATATTCCTTCAGACTCTCTCGCCGAATCATCTTCCCCACCACCGGGGTGAGCTGTTCGCTCTTCGAGCGCATCGTAATGCCGAGAGTCTCATTCATCAACGCAAAAAGTTTAGTGAAGAAGCTCGCAGAGCGGATCGTGGATCTTGGCAGGAGACTGAGCTTGCCCAGACGGCGTACCTGCTCAGCGTCTACTTTACGTGCACCCGTCAAGCCAAATTGGGCCTGTTTTATCTGGAAGCTGGCATCGATATTCTTCGCCCCTCTCCTGTTCCCTATATCCAGCCACCGGCGGCTCATCCGGGGTCGAATCCTGTCGAATTTACAACACATATGGAGACTCGAAACAGGACGTTCTGGGCTTTGGTCCTGCATGATCTGTGCGCATCGACGAATGGGCGTCCGAGAAAGTTGACAGAGGCCGATCTGGGGACGATACCACTTCCTGGAAGTGAAACGCAATGGGCTAGATGGGGTGGCAGCGGGCCTAATGGACGTGAGCCCGGAAGGCGAGATGGTCTGGTTCCAGGGACTGGGAGCTGGTCTGACGAGGAAGGCTCGGTAGGAGAGGTCGGTCACGTGATCCGGATTGTGAGTTTGGCGCACACATATGGAAGCAACTGACGTTGTACAGCTTTCCATTCTAGCTGATATCATGGCCCTTGCAACTGATTCCAGCTCTGGAGAATCCAAGCAAGTTTTTGCGCTACGCCTCGAGGGTGCGCTGAAGAACTGGGCCATGAGCCTTCCTCGCCACATGCATTTCAACGAGTCCAACCTTACGCACGCTCTCGGAAAGCTTGCGTCCCAGGTGCCCGAGGCCAAGACGTCTGGCTGGATGTATGCGTACATGCACGCTGCCGCCGAGTGTGGGATGTTTTATCTCCAGGCGGCTGTAGCGCCTGCCAGTGACAGCGTTGTCACTGCCCGCAGGCAAAGCCAAGCCATCGAAAACTTGATCGTCATCATGGACACGATTGGTCTCGCTGGTCGAGAAGGAAGCTGCTGTGAGTCTGCTATCTGCTGCACCGTATGACATTCTGACCCAAGATCAGTTGTATTTCCACTTTTTGTCATTTCAAACTGGCAAGACCACTTAGAAAAATCCGAATTCTTGATCCGTGATGTCAAGCATCATCTCACTGAGGAGAGGTTGAATCTTTGGTGGGCTGAAAAGATCCGAGAATGGGGCATCGATCAGCACGAGGTTCTACAGCGTGGCTTCTACGCTCTACCCTTTCCCTCTACCGCTTCCTCCCCGAGCTTTCATCAGACCCGAATGCCTTCCGTGGAGACGCCCTCGAGCCTGGGGCTTTATCAGACTTCGCCCCGAGGTCGGGCATCCATATACTCTGTAACGGCCATATCTCCATCATCTAGCGCGGTAAATTCCACTCCACTCTTTTCAGGCAATCCTCGTCTAAGCTTGCCGAGTCTCCCTCCGTTCCGGCCCAGAGCTACGTCCGGTGCTAGCACCATGTCATATCATGGCGGTCGCTCTCCATCACCGCCCCACCATTTGCCGTACGTCAACACGTCGTCAGACAGGGAACGAGATTCGGTCACTCTACCACCGCTCTCGGTCGGACTGAGCAGTTTCAGAGAACCTCCTAGCCCCAGACACCCCTTGTCCCAGAGTATCAGCAGTCGGTACCTTCCAAAGAGCCACCCCTATGTCAGAGAGAGGTCGCAGTCTCCTCGAGAGACTGGACGACATGGCGAAGGGATGTCTGGTATTGCGGCTCTCGTCAGCGTCGCTGAGAGGGAACGGGAGAAAGAGATTGCCAAGGAAGGTAGGAGTTGATTGATCAACGGTTGGTTAGAGCGTGTATAAAATGACAGTGTATATATAACCTGCCTGGATGTTGGGGTGTCATGTAGCTGTAAATGTTGCCTATGTATCGTTGACCTGGAAAACAAGCACGTGGTTTGTCAGCGGAAGCAAAATGGGTCAATGGCCGAGAGGTGTGCTTTCTGTCTCCACCGACGTCGACCCATCCGATTTGTATTCGTATCCCGTTCGTTGCAGTCCCCGGCCATATAGCACTCCATGGAGCACCCTGTGATGGGCACAGCGCCCAGCGACCGCCATCAACACGAAGAGGCAGACGAGGGTCACGTCGATGACTATCTCCGTCATTCGCCGGGCGAATCACCAGCAGAGTCCTCCCCGCCTCCGCAGGACGAGAGGCAGTGCCGGATATGCTTTTCGGGACCAGAAGAGGAGGAATCAATGGGAAAGCTGATCTCCCCCTGTCTATGTAGTGGCTCAATGCGTGTAAGTAATCTCAAGGTACCTTGGATGCCGAGCACTTCTCACTTCTCACTAACCATAGTTTGTCCATGGTGCGCACCAGCATAAGGTTGAAGATACAGTCTAGTGACTCATATGACCTATCAGTGGAATGTATAAACGCCTGGAGAGGGACAGGAACCAACGCCGCAAGTCGCCCCGGCACCTTGTATAATGACTGTCGCGCTTACAATCTACCAGAAAGCTTACATGGAGTGTCCCCAGTGCCACTTCAAATACCGGATTCAAAGTATGTACATCAAAGTCTGGCACATGGTTTGTACTCACAAAAGACCCAGGGACTCGAATATCCGGTCTCGCGACATCGAAACCCGTTCTCATACTTTCCACATTGTCGCTCTTCTCTCTCCTCACCTTGTCTCTAGGATCCACCTTTCACTTTATCCTTGCCCATTCATCGACATTATCGCGGACTTTCCTGTCACCTTCTTCCGGAAACCTTCGTCTAGGGGGTCCCATGGACTTGTTTGACGACGGTTTCATGGATCAGGGAAACGTGATCATCATCGGCAGTGGCGGCGGGACATTGGTCTGGGACGTGCTCGTCGCTGCCATCCAGACCTTTGCGTCGATCGCAGACAAGCTTGGACGCTATCATTCGGTACTGGTCACCCGGCTACCTGGGCCTCTCGCAACCCTTGTCCTGGGGATCGCCATCAGGTCGCTTCTGGGCATAGCGCTCCTAGGGTCCATGTCCTTCCTCTCTTTGTCCATCTCGATGTCCCTGTTCGGGCCACTTCAGTTGGCCAATGCTCTACGAGGGGGCTTCCTCGGATCGTGGGGAAGACGTCGGCTGGCCAGAGGTGGTAGAGGAGGCGCCGCCATCGTGGTAGCGCTTGTTGCGATAGGTACCTTGAACACTCTCCGACAAGTCTACAGGAGAGTTGGGCGGCTGGCCACCCGTCTCCTCAAGTATGTTGAGAGCCAAATCCTTGAAGTCAACCCAGATGAAGAAAGAGAAGGAGAGAGAAGACGAATGGCCCGCAGAGAGAAGTGGCTCAGGCAGTGGCTCGTTGAACGTAGATGGGGGACCGTACACGGTTGGAAAGAAGCAGGTTATCGAGGTTGGATTACTGCAAGAGGGTGGTGGGACGACATATGGGAAGATGTGGCTGTTGACGCACACGACGAGTGACTGATCCAGCGCGACGTAGACGTTGATCAGAAGATCATGTAGCACACTTGTATTCAGACCAAGTAGCAATCCTGTTTCAGGACAAGGCATACATATACTGCTTGGGATTGATATTAGATCCATGGCTAAAAGAGATAGGCAGAAGAGCCTTTGGTGGTACAACAATGAAAGAACCTTTTTTCATTTTTTTTTTGGCTCGACGATGGGGACCTGTTCGCAAAGACCCCAAACGTACTGTTCACCCGGCTACCTTTCATTTTTGGTCGCCCTCGCTCTTCACATCTTCACACCATCATCCAACTCCGGCTTCTTCTCGACGCTACGGTTGGGGGTCCCACTTCGAGAGTTTTTGATGTCAGCAGCCCTCCCCAGCTGCCCAAGAGCAGCGTAGCCGTCTGGATACTCGTTTTTCTAAAGACGACAATAAGTAAAGACCAAAAATACAAATGCGAAACTTACCCATTCTGGACGGATGACATCGTCAACCTTGGCGGCAACCATTTTTGTGATTCTGTGAAATTGTCAGCCATCAAGTAGGGGCCTACTAAAAGCAACTCACAACTTGGTAGTCGATTCTGACACGCCGCCCATAACCGAGATCTCCTTTGCGGTAACAGGTTTTCCCAAGAGAACACAGGTAAAGTACAATACGCCGGCCGCGATAGACACGGGGCTACGGCCGTCTATGGCACTCTTCGCAACAGCTTCACCAGAGATGTGCTTGGAGACATTGAAGATGGCATTGCCGAGATCGAGATAGTTGGTGAAACGGCCCAGAAGACCTTCCACAGACTCTTGAGCATTGTTGAAACCATGAACAGACTCCATGGAGCCCTTTGATGACGACTGGACGGTAGATTTGACAATGTTGAAAACATGACCAAGCTCCTTCTTGGTAATCTTGAGCGCTTTGCCGACTTCTTGGAAAGTTCGGTGGACTTTTGCGTCTCGGCAAGCGTAGACGATGCAAGCCGCAATCACAGCTGCCTCATTCTTTCCCTTGATGGTCTTTGCTTCATCTACCATCTTGTACACATGCTGAGCTCGGTCCCGCACACTTCGGGGGAGCTGCATGGCGTCGCACTTTTCGCCGATACGCGAGAAGACAGCAGAGAGCTGGGCAGCATTGGTCTTGCCGTAAATTCCGTTGCCCAAAGTGTTGGCTCTTGCCTGGGCACGGTTAAGGTCTCGCGCGATACCAGTCCGACCATCTTTGTGAGAAATGATGGTATCGAGATGATTGGATCCCAAAAGCGGGTTCCCGGCATCACCAACACGTGAGGGGTCATCACCATTCTCATCGCCCGCAAAAGTCTGGACTGATGATTCAGTGCCTGCTCGAGCCCCAACTGTTTGTGACTTACACGCCATTCACTTCTGGTGTCGACAATCCTGTCACCCAAGATTGTTCCGCAATCGGCACAAACCTGGACCCAATGTTTAACAATGCCAACTCGGATATCTCTGGATGGTATACTCACCAGATCACCCTTGGAATATTCTTCGACAATATTGGGAGGGTCCGTCCTGCAATTGGGGCAGACTTGACGGATGTTCAGGTTAGGGACAATACTCTGACCGAATTTCGCCTGTTTCATAGTCTGGTTAGCTCCTTGATTGCGCCTCACAGGCGGTCTGCGTACCCCAGAAGGTTTGGGCCCGGCCACAGCGACCATGGTCGATAACAATAAAAGCGTGTGAAAGGAGTACGCTTTAAGCGGTAGATGTGAGATCAAGGGTCGAGGTTACTTGGTATTGAGATACAGTGATCTGTGATAGAACAAGAAGCGAAAAAGGTTGATGCGGTCATGAGCAAAGAGTGGCAGCGGAAAAGTGTGTCAGCATAATCATCCTGGCGAAAATCGACCTCTTTATCGTCTATATCCACTCAACACTAATCGGCCATCCACCTTGCATTCACAGACATACGTCCCATGCGATATACGCCTGAGGTGCTTGATAGCTCCTTCGCGGCTTCTCGAAAGCATACAGAGTCGCGCAGCTAAGGCTCGCCACCGAGCCCACTGAGAGAGGCTGAAGGAGGCGAGACTCACGAAGCTGTCCCAATGGTACCCTAATGAGTTTTACTGCGCGTGTGACCGTCTGCCAAGCTACTGTCCCTGTCGAAGAGGGATGATAGACTTTTGAGAGATAGATGGGGAGGAGAAAGAGTTGATAGCGAAAAGAGGCAAGAACGAATGGCTCGCGGAGCGCGAGAACGTTTGTTTACGCCCCCATTTTGCGCTGCCGCGACTTGCTCTGTCTGCGTGCGCTCCGTCGCTCTGTTTATCTCTCCCAGACCACCCCTCGACCACCCCGTCCCCATCCCAAACAGCGAACAGTGAGCACAGATGACCCGTATGAGAATTCCGAAATCACTGGTTGACCCTTCTTCTTGCCTTAGGTACCAGGTCTCTGAACTCTACTAGCCCCAAGTCGCGTTGGGCAAAACATCCAACTCGAATAACCGTTCTTGTCTTCAATACTCTCTTACGACCTGGAATCACCAACTATCAACCTCAACACAGTCTATCTTACGGCCCAAGGAGCAGCAAAGTCTTTTCGTCTTGCAACACTCATAAACCTATAAATCAAGTACGCGCATCTTCCTAGTTGCATCATCCAAAGGCATCACACTAATGCATCTTCTCTTTCTTCCCCCGACCTCTTCTACTACTATCTACCGCGGACTATATTTATGGGCTGTACTCAACATGAGCAGACTTTTACAAAATGGCCGGTGCCGTCCCTCAATTCATGGTTGACGAATACGTCCTCGCATACCATGGACCTTTACTCTATGAAGCTCGAGTAAGTCTCATCACACCCCCTCGAATCACTTGTACAGTGCGACTGCAAGAAACGGGGTCCTACTCTTGATGCGACCAAGACTAGCGATTGCGGGAGATGGAATGGGGACATGCCGTTGACTTTGATCAGGTTCTCCTCGCGGAATCATGGGACGAGTCCAATACTCTTTCGGGTCAAGTGGGGCCACACTACTTTATCCATTACAAAGGCTGGAAGCAAACGTACGTTTTTTCATACCCCGTTGTGCTTTGGCTTTGCTGCAAAGCCCCGCCAGGCCCCACCTGAAAGCTCTCGGCTGATACAGTCTCACAGCTGGGATGAATGGGTCCCCGAATCGCGACTCCTCAAGCTCAATGAGGCTGGCTTTGCGAAACGCCGTGCTCTTCTCGAGGCGCAAGCCAAGAAGGGAAGATCGAGCATCTCGTCTGCGGCGGGCACAGCGGGAGGCGGGGGGAGCGGAACAGCGTCACCTGGCATTGGAGCGGCAGGACGAAAACCGTTGAAGGATTTTAAAAAGGATGGGAAAAAGAGAGGGAGGGATGCTCTGGATAGCGTGAGTGTTTTTTTCTTTTCTTTTCTTCTGCTGAAGCTGTGGTCCTATGTGCACCTTGACCATTGCTTGCCCCTTTGAGCCTGAAGTGGAGCTGACCGCTTTTCTCGCCCTTGCAGGAGACCGATTTCATGAAAAGACCAGAAGTCAAGATCGTGATCCCGGATATTCTCAAGCTTGTTCTTGTCGACGACTGGGAGAATGTGACCAAGAACAATCAACTGGTAGCTTTGCCCAGGAAGCCAAACGTGAGAGAATTATTGGAGGAGTATCGGCAATACGCGTCAGCCAGCAAAAAGCAAGAACGGTCTGCGTGAGTGGGACGGATCAAGAAAGATGGCTGTGGCTGACTCAGGATGTAGCCGAGCTACTGCTCTACTCTCTGAAATCATATCTGGCATCACGCTGTACTTTGACAAGGCCTTGGGCAACAACCTCCTCTACCGATTTGAGCGAGCGCAGTACGTGGAGCAGAAGCGGCAGAATCCTGAGAAGCCTATGAGTGAGATCTATGGAGCAGAGCATTTGCTGAGGCTGTTTGGTGAGCAAGCTTTTGGGTCAACGACTTTGGCTGACAGTCAGCTAGTCAATTTTGGTCCTTTCATCGCGTATACCAACATCGATACAGAGTCACTCAACATTCTTCGTGATTACATCAACGACATCATGGAGTTCGTCCTTGCCTGCTGTACATCGTGCACCAGCTGACCCTTTCGTAGCTGGATGATCAAAGACCAGAAGAGGCTCTTCATGAAGGAGTACGAGGAGACTACCACCCATTATCAAAATCTTTCAAGATCATGATACCTGTGTGACATTATCTCTTTAGTCTCAGGCGTGTGATGTATGAGGGTATCGAGGGCAAGGCGAGGGTCCTCGGAACACGTTGTTTCTTTCACTTTTTTCTCCAGTGTTCATATTTCCCCAGATTGAGCTTTCGGTTGTCGACGGGACTTGTTCCAGTATGAGTACTATGCAAGTAGGGTACTATTCGCTTCGCTGTCGAGGCATTACAGTACAAGCCTTGGCTACAGCATGGTGAACCGTAAAGCTCTATCTCTGCCTCCAATACCTTCACTCAAAGGAGTGTCAGGATCGTATGTGCTGGCCAGAGTCATGCGCAAGGTACTGATATGGCATTCATGATATCTAGAGGCTTATAAGCATGGTGGGTATACAAAACATCACATCCAGCCGCCTCCAGAGTACCGCCTGCGTTTGTCGATTCATTCTCTAATACTTTGTCTTGATGTTGGCAAAGTTTGATTACAATAGGCGATCCACAAGGCCAAGATGGTGTGATGGTGCGACGAGAATGTTCTCATCGACATGGGCAGACTATGTGGTCTTCCAGAGAAGGATGGCCACTTGTCCCAGGTAAAAGTAGATGAAGTTTTTGGATTCTGTAGGCCTATATTAGCAATCGTCATTACGATTGGGCCGTCCCAGGATTGAGACTGACCATGGGTGACAAAGCTTCCGAAGCTGCGCAACTTTGTCAGCTTCTATTACTTGCCATACACAGGCGTGAAGGCTCACTTCTTTCCGATGACGCAGTGCCACGTAGTGCCGTACATCCTGTCAAATTGCTTCTTGACATACATCGCCATGTCCTTCATTTCATCGTATCGGTCGAAAGAGTCAAAGACGGTCTCCACGGCCTTGGTCTGCATTTCTTCAGACACTATTCACATTGCATCTCAATGAGCAACGCCACGACATATTTGAGATAGAAACATACTGTCGACAGACTTGACGGTGGCCTTGAGTGGCTGGCCGTCCGGGCCGACCTTTGGAAACTTGGAGGGACGAGGTTCGGGGGAGGGAGAGCGGTTCTGTTCCATTGTGGGCGGACTGGTGGGCTGTGGGAGAGACGGGACGAGGGTGGCCGGCAGCAGGGAAAGCAGTGGAAAGTGGATTGTTGGCTGGGGTCTGGGGAAGTGAGCGCGAGGCGGCGGGGGGCTCCGCCTGTACTGAGAGGTCGGTGCTCCGGGAAACGTACGACGCACAGCCAGCGCAAACACACAGCGATGTACACCACAAATCCCCATCCACAAGAGAAAGGGACAGACTGGGGAGCAGAAACAGGGCCTGGGCAGCACATCCATCATCCATCTCCCCATTGTCCCTCTCTCTTCCTCTTTCTTCTTTCTCTTTCTTCTTTCTCTATCTACTCACCCCCCGCACTCCTGAATCCTACCTTGTAGAAAGCCACTTGGACGCCCCTCACGGCTCAATCACACTCCTTTCTTATCCCCACTCCTCGGCTTGTTCTCATCACCGCGTCCCTCCCCTCAGCCAGCTCGCAGGTCGAGTACCCCCGCCATGCCCGCCTCAACCCCCCTGCATGCCCTTGCTGCAGTTGTCATGTCTGGCGTTGCCCTCGGTGCCGCAGACCACTGGATCTTGACACATGCACAGACAATCGCCCTCGCGCGTATGGACCCAATTGTGAATCCATCTGCCATCAGTAGCCATGTTCACAATATTGTCGGAGCGAGCAATTTTGATAGTACGTCACTTCGGCCAACGTTGGTCTAGCTAATCCGGGCGTAGTCGCATTGAACAGCGTATCCGACCAGCTCAACGCTGCGTGCTCCTCCACCATTGTCAATGCTGACATTTCAAACTACTGGGCTCCGTAGGTCGAATTTGTGCCCTCGGCATTCTAGCTCATGTCTTATAGCCAGCTATACTACCACCACCAGAACGGTACCTTCTCTCCCATCATGTCCGGTACCCGTGTCTACTACTTTACCAAGGGTACCGAGGTCAAGCCTTTCCCGCAAGGTCTTCGAATGATTGCTGGCGCTGCCACGACTCGAGACGTGTCCGACACTACGGCCTTTGGCGTCAGGATCTCTTGTGACCACGGAGAAGAAGGTTTCTATCTTCCCAACGGCACAACTCATCCGGGTGGCTGCTCATCCATCTCTACGGCCACCTTCTTCCCCAGCTGCGGGCTGTCGACCGGCGACTTGGACTCTACCGACCATTTCTCGCACATGGCCTGGCCTCAGAGCTACAATGGTACCATTCTTGTAGATGATGCCAACGGGCAGTACTGCCCAGACACGCACCCAGTGAAATATCCGACGAGTAAGTCCAAGTCAGAAACAGTTGGGGCTCGAGCAACCACTGAAGTATCGGTCCAGTTTTTGCTCAATGGAACTACTACCTCGACGATAACCAGCCTTGGAGGAACGACGAGGGCACCCTTGTTTTCTCCAACGGGGATACCCTGGGCTCTTCGATGCACGCTGACTTTGTGAACGGTGTGAGTTCCTCGTCGCTTGCTGCAAGTCAAATCACTCACGGCGACACAGTGGACGCCAGATGTCCTCGCGGACGCAATTAGCCAGTGTGGCGACGGCAATGGGCCTGGAGAAGACCTCACGACTTGCGCCCCTCTTTCCAAGTCGACCAACGAGTCTGCCACTTGGGATTGTCGTCTTGAAGGCAATATTCCTGATGAGCAAGTCGCAGCGGCAAGAGGATTTTCATCGACACTAACATTGTTTTCAGGGATGTTGGTCTCCAAAGGCCAATCGACAAGCTCCCTGGATGTAACCCTCTTTGGACAGCCGATGTTACCACCAAGCCCACCTGTGACGAGAAGGCCGCTGATCCATCTATGGTCGGACCTAATGTCCTCTTTGAAAACTTGATAGTCAGTCACAGCTCAACACTCAACCAAATAGACACTGACCTTTTGGCAGTACCGATGGCACGTCCCCATGGCCGCTGACTTTGTCACAAACACTTCAGATCTCGCTGGACTTACGCCTTCGCTGGGTAATACTGGCGACTCTCGACTTGTCGCATGGGGATCAGAAGGATCAGACACCTCTAGAATGACTGTGGGAACCCTCGAAGAGATCATAGCGGGTGCTGTTGGGGCTGCCAACGGCAGCTCGTCTGCAGCTGAGAGCTCTATTGCTTCAACTACCGCTTCCACTGCCTCTGATGTTTCTTCAACTCTTGCTTCGGCCATCGCTACTCAAACGTCATCAGAGTCAACAGCGTGGATTTCATCTGAAGGAAGTGTCTCTGCATCCACATCTCTCACAACTTCTGCAAGCGTCTCTGCAGCTTGTAAGACTACCACCTAGGCTTACGATTAAGCTGATATCACTTTAGCGGACCAAGTATTGGCTATCGCCGAAACTTCCACTTTGACTGGAACCTCCAGCACTGCCACCCAGACTCAAGTGGCGTCAACCAAGGTCTGCAAGTAAGCTATCTGTCTGCACTGAGATATTATCTATACTAACGTAATCACAGGCGCAAGAAGAAGAGATCTTTGGCCGAGAACCATCTCCGTCGCTCGAGGTCCAAGCGATCGTAGTTCTAGGACATCTTGTCATCTTTTGATGCTGGCTACAATCTAGCTGTTTATAACTATAGTTTCCGTTTTCTTTTACGATCCTCATTTGAGGTTACTCTTGAGCTGTGCTCAATCCATCAGGCTGATCGTGCTTTAGCAGTGCCATGATCTTCTCTACGTGTGTCTATAATCGTCTTCCATGGGAGCGTGTGCCCAGATATCTTCATATTTATATACATACCCATAGTTCTATACCCCGTGGAAAATATACCCAGAATGTAATATCAGCTTCCATATTTGTCATTTCACAGGACGCAGAGAGTCAGTCTACCATTTACTAGTGTACGTAGATTCACGAAAAGACTAGGAAAGACTAGAGCATCTCTCTCAACGTTGTCCATATTAAATGACCGCCCCTTTAATCTCAGGCCATTCCCCGCTTTCTTCTGCGCTGACCGACTCTGCCGTTGGCCATCTGGTTTCCATCTACTACACCCTGCACTCGTCACTCCGAGCACTGGCAAGACAAAAAGGCTCTCAAAATGCCTCGTTCACCATCACCCCGCCGCTCTCGTTCCCGCTCCCCACAGCCACGCAAGAAAGCTCCCAAAGAACTCTCATTCTACAAAAAGTCCTCTGCCCCCGTGGGCTCCTTTTCGTCTCGGCGCGATCCTCTCGATGAACCATCATCCAAAGAAAGGGCTGAAGCAAGAGAACGCGGAGAAGTGCCCAAGAGATTCGGAGGATCGAGGGAGCAGGGGGTGAGGAATACAATGGGAAATGTGGGTGCGAGTGTAGGGAGCTTCAGGAGAGGAGGCGACCCACTTGATCGGTACGGCGTCAAAGGGGAGAGAGAAGATAGACGGGATTATGGGAGGGACAGCAGAGATAGTAGGGAGCACAGGAGGGATGATAGGGATAGAGATCACAGGCGGGATAGAGACAGGAGAGATAGAGATGACAGAGACAGAGACAGGGATAGGAGAGATCGAGATCGAGGGTCAGACAAGAAGCGCGATGACGGACCATCCCTACCTGCTCCTACTGCTCCGGCTGTTGGTTCCAATGGCGGACCACCACAAAGACCACCTGCGGCTGCCCCTAGCATGGCATCATTGAGGCTGATAGAGGTGATTGCGAACGATCGTATGGGGCGAAAGGGTAAGTCTAGGCAACTCCTGCAGGACGAAGGCTGACAGGTGTACAGTGCGCGTCAAGTGCTTGCCCACAGATACGGTCGGGGACCTCAAGCGGCTCATCGCGGCGCAAACTGGTACATCGGCGCAAAAGATCCAATTGAAGAAATGGTACGGGGCATTCAAGGACCATGTGACGTTACAAGACTACGAGATCAACGACGGGATGGTGAGTCCCTTATCGCGTTTAGGAATCGCGCTGACACCGGACACAGAGTTTGGAAATGTACTAGGATACAGCAGAACATTGTAGCAACATGCATCCGCCCAACATATGCTGTCTCCTTTATTAAAGCTTGCTGACCCCTTCGTTCTCTCCCGGCTTTCCAAACAACTCTTCATACACTGGTCCAACAAGTTCGACCAAATCGCCAGTGACCATGCTTCTCCCCTTTTTGGCAAAGCCGTGCTTGGAAACAGTGCGATTGAAAGTCGAGGCACCGTAGGCAGCAAGCAGGGGAACGTTTTCGGCGATAGATTTATCCTCAGGGGGAGGGTGACCGACAGATCTAGTCATAATGTAAGCTGCAATCAACCAAGGGCTAACCGCAGGACCTACTCATATGTCCCTCTGACCCACTCACTTCCCCATGCCAACAAAACACCGGTGCTACCACTCAGGATGTCACCTTGGCCACCCACTCTCTTCAAACCACCCTCCACAGTGTTTTCCAAGATTTCTTGCTTGTCCTTCTCGTCCGGAAGTAGAGAAGAAGGGATGGCAAGGCCGTTGGAGATGATGTCGGTAGGGCCCTTTTGAACGATGGTCAAGTTGCCCAGAGCGGAAGCCAATTTTGGACATAGGGTTTCGGGGGAAGCTTTGGGATCGATTTCCTTTGGTCGTTATCAGCATTACAACCACAGAGACAAAAGAATTTACCATCTTCTCACAGAGGCGCTTAAACTCCATGACGTTGGGTGTGAGGATGATCCTGGGCACACCAGGCCAGCCCATGACCACTTTCGGTTCGTTCTGTTATGGTGGTCATTACGAGAAGCGATATACAGAAAAGTGCGACTTGCCTGTACCAGCCACAGACCATCTGCGTCAACCACAACGCCCATCTGGTCCATATCTCTGGCGAGCTCGAACGCGATCCTGCCGCAGTTCTGCATGTGTTCATCTCTTCCAAGACCGGGGCCGATGATCAGAACGTGGAGACGAGACAAGATCCCCTTCATAGCTTCTTTAATTTCGGCGTCCGAATTTTTGGGGTCGAGGATGGTGTGGACGATGAGGTCGGGAGAGCTGCAAAGGTCAACAGTGTACGGCTGTGCTCCACCGACGGCCTTACTAGGTCTTTATGACTGCTCCGGCCGAGGGTTCACAGATGACATGTGCGAGATCAGCACCAAACCTCATGGCACCCATGGCGGAGAAGTAAGGAGCTCCAGAGTAGCTGGGCGGGTTGGGACATCAGCATGGCAGCGGCCGGCTGGGACATGGCTTACTCTCCGGAGCCGCCGAGGACGCCTATTCTGCCTGCCTGGCCCTTGTGGAGTTTGGGGTGGAGAGGGGGGACCATGGCCCTGGCGAGGGCAAGGAGGTGGGCGTGCTGCTTGGGGGCCATTGTGGTGTGCTCAAAGTGTGCTTGGTGGATTGTTGGTGGATGTTGGTGGAGCATTTGCATCTCGAATGTCATGACGTCGCAGGGCGGACATCGCCGACCTGCCTCCACTCTGGCGTCTTGCCCTTCGGCGACGGAACATTATGCATTGCATCGCGAGACTCACAGATGTCTGGCTCTTCTAGCAGCAGCGAGAGACCCGCCACAGCTCCCCGCCGTGTCTCGTACATCTGGTCCGCAGAACTCGAAAGCGTATCAAATAATCTTCCCTCCAATGTCGGCCGCTCTAGCATGGTCCATGACCTCATACGATCTCTTGGCCTCCTCGACTCAAAGCTAGGCTACGAGATGGAAGAGAACCACGGGGGCGAATCAAGAGAAAGAGAAGACATCGACAACAGCGGTCGGATCAGACCCATGGCCAGAATAACCCCGCCAGACCCGTCACTGGGCACCAAGGCATGTCTCTTGCGATACCACGACAGGGGGTATATAGGTGCGTATTTGGTTATTGGCATCTCAATGAACTGACTAGCGCCAGACCGTCTGTATCAGCCAGAAAACGACTCGAACGAGCCTCCAGAAGATCCGACGCACCTTCCATCTTCTCCCAGATCATCATCATCAGAGTCGTCTCCTCGACCTCGAAAGATTCTCAGAGCAGATCCCTACAACTTGTCCCATGACAACCCTATCTTTGACACACTACCTCTTTACGCCTCATTGGTTTCGGCTGCCACATCTACCGCATGCCGACTACTTGCTCAAGACAAAGCGGACTGGGCAGTATGCTGGGATGGAGGTAGGCATCACGCAAAAAGGAAAGAGGCAGGCGGATTCTGTTATGTTAATGATTTGGTGCTTGGTGGTCTGCTCCTCTCCAGAGAGGGACGGGTGACCGTTTATCCCCAGCAAGTGGGAAAAGACCAAACTCCCAAAGTCAAAACGAGGCCGCCAAGGATACTCTACTTGGACATGGACTTGCACTATGGTGACGGTGTTTCGGCAGCCTTCCACTCACCCAAGGCCTATCCATATCCATTGAAACCGAATCAACCTATCCCCAAACCTCCCAATGTCTTGACTCTGTCAATTCATCATTCTTCCCCCGTATTCTATCCCCCTCCTACTCCACTGTCCCTACTACCAAGTCCCGACACAACATCCCCGTTCTCGCTTTCTGTTCCTCTTGCGGCCTATCCATCGCGCGAGACCTATGCCAAAGTGTGGACAATGTGCATCGAACCAATACAGGAAGCCTGGAATCCAGACTATGTAATACTTCAAATGGGCACAGACGGTCTACCAGGCGATAGAGTAGGGCAGTACGGGAACTGGGCCGTGGAAGGTGAAGGCGGGATCAAATGGGTTGTGGAGCAGGCCAAAAAATGGGATGCCAAGGTCTGTGTGACGGGTGGTGGAGGCTATAGGCATGAAAACGCTGCTCGAGCGTGGGCAGAGGTCATGGGCGTTCTGGTGAGTGTCGCGGAGAGAACTCTTTTGCGCAATTGACGTGGAGAGGTAGTTGGACAGAGACTTTGAGCACGACATGGCCATCCCCCACCACAATCATTTTGAGCAGTACGCTCCGTCGTTTACAATGCAAGTTCCCGAAAGTGAGTTCAGGTCGGATTCTAAAGACATTTTGAATTGATGTCTGCCAGGTCACGTCCGAGACGAAAACACTGAGGAAGAGCTCAGCAAAGCTGGCACAGTGTTCAAGGTGTTGGCTGATAGGATCAATTTTATTGTTAAACATGCATGATTGTCTCGCTGTATACGTCTGCTTGTGGCATGAACTCGATGGCTTCTCTCTACTCTTCTCTCTACTCTTCTCTCTACTTTTTCTATTCACAAATAAATTGTATCCTGTACTAGGTCTAGTTGAACTTTCTCCCCTGTTCGACACACCAGTCCCAGACTTGGTGTACGTTCTTGATATCCCAGAGGTCGGGGCGCATTTCACCAACAACCCCAAAGGGAACGACATACTGCCCATTGAGATACCAGGCGAAAGGAAGTGGAATGGTACCCGCATAGAGTTGGTTCAGAGCACCAGTAGCAGGAGATCTAGTAATCACATTCTAGATGAAGTGCATGGTCAGTCCCGTGCCATTTCGATGGGCATGCAACTTACCCAGATCCAGGGAGCGTAAGCGGTAAGTTTGAGAAGGAAGCCAACGCCAGGAAGGTGATTTGCCAGGTTTGAAGCGATCAATCCAGGGTGGATAGCCACACTAATCAGCCGTCCTTGCTTTCCATACGTGTCCTCCAGCCACCTGGCAAGGGCGATATCTCCCCACTTGCTCTGTCCATACGCGGCCCATTTCTCAAGCTCATCTTTGCCTCTTGAAGCTTTGATGATAGAAGAAGAGGAAGCGGGAAGAGGAGGGTCTTCAGGTGACCGAGTGAGAGAAGGGACATCGAGGCCGTTTGGAGGGGCAAAGCCATGTCCGGCAGAGGATGTGATGATGACTCGGGCAGGTTCTTGGGGGCCGTTTTGAAGGAGTGTAGGGAGGAGGCGAGTGATGAGTCGATGGTGTCCGAGAACCTGCAGCGATGATGGTCAGAGATGGTAGTCGGATCTTTGAAAGTCACCCACGTTGGTCCCGAATTGAAGCGTATAGCCTTGCTTGGTGTACAGACCCTCGTTGCTGGCAAACGACGTCAGCCACGTAATTTCACAATCTTCTGAAATAGTTTAGCTTACGTGGCCATCACTCCAGCATTGCAATAGAGCAAGTCGATATGCTTCTCCTTGCTATACACATCATCAGCATACGCGCATGGTCGGAAGAAGTGTACGCACGACAAAAACTCGTCAGCACACTTGTCGACGCTTGCCAAATCTGCCAAGTCTAGCTGGATGATCTCGATCCTCCCCTTCGTCCTCTGTCCATTGTCTTTCTCGAATTGCGCCCCTCTGACGTGCTTGGCTCTCCAGAGTCCATTCAGCCCCGCACCGGGAAGATCCTCGATAGGGAGCTGGGTCACCATGTCTTTCTCCTTCTTAGACCGCTGTGCCCCTTGCTTGGGGTAGCGAACGCCCCAGATTCCCCGGTCACCACCTTTGATAATGTCGTCTGCGGCTTCCTGGGCCCGAGTCAGGTCGCGACATGCAATGTAGACGGTGGCGCCAGCGTTGTAAAGAGCAAGAGCGGTGGCGTATCCAGTGCCAGAGTTCCCGCCAGTGATGAGAGCCACCTATAGTACATGGTCAGTCAGCAATAGGACCGTGGGGTCCCTGGAGTGCCTACCTTGCCAGTCTGGTCTGGGATATCGTCGACGCCCCAGTGGGGCTGGACCCAGAAGATACCTGTCCAGCCCGAGTGGAGGATGGTGCTGATGCGCCACGAGAGCCAAGTCCAGAGAGTTCTCCAGTAGGACATAGCTGATAGATGCAGGTGATTCTGAGAGGGTGGCAGTGTAATCCAATGTAGTCATATCGATAGGAGTGGACGCAGCAAATGACGTCATCACTTGGGCGTGTCTCGACTCCTCGAGTGTCCTGCTCGTGTCCTTCGTGAGGTGTTTGCTGAAAGTCGCTGAGACTCGAGTACAGCAAGCATCCTGAGAGCGGCAAACACAAAATACAAGTCCGTGGATATACATGTCAAAAGTAAGGAACGATACAAGATACCCGAATTATGATGACACAAACAAACAACAGGGAAGCCCTTTGGGATGTGTATAGCAGAATGACCATCGGCGCCCGTATCAGCACACGCTCGCTCTCCTTCCCATGTTCAACAGAATATCTGCAGCATCCAGTATGTCCCAGACCTCTCGCACTGTGTCGTATCCGTCATCCTCGTCTTTGAGCATTTCTTCATGCCCCACCCCCCTCCGCATAGACGTCGTAGGCACCGCCTCGCTCCATGACCAAGCTCGGGGCACTGAAACCATCTGCTCAAAAGTAAAGCTTCCGGTAGAAGATGCGCTGGAGCTTCCTTGAGACAAGGTCGGAGGGCTACAAATCGACGGTCTGAAATAAGTAGAGGTGATAGGAAGCGCAGCAGAGAGGGGGCGGCGGTCGTCATCAAAAGTCACAGAGTGTGCGAAGGAGCGTTGCGATGTGGGGCTATGCGCGTCGTGGGTCATACTCGAAAAGCGGTTGGCGGAGCTGGCAGGCGAGTACCCGGCAGCTGGACGTATCTCCCCAAGGGGCTTGCTGTCGACGTTCTGCTTGCCAAAGCTCGTCGCATCCTCTCGAGGTCTCTTGGGAACCGGAATCCGAGGGTCCTCGTTCGAACTTGTCTCTTCGAGATTCCGGGAGCGCTTGTGGTGTTTGGCAGAGAGAGAGCTGCTATTGCTGACAACGGACACGGAGATACCAAGATCGATTGTGGGATCGGGCGTGGGAGCGGTTAAAGCCAGGCGAAGGGGTTTTCGGCGGGCAGAGCGGTCGGGCCTGGACGTAGCTGTCTCGAGGTTACCAGCTGCCATAGCCAGGCAATTGTCGCGATGGAGCTGGCCAGAAACAATCATCTGGACGATACTCTTCATTGCGGATGTAGGCTGAACCCGACCCTCTACCGCAAGATAGGCGGGCTGAGGATCTTCGCCACCAGTCTGAGCTTTCTTGGTATACTGCCGGCGGTTTTGAAACTGGAAAAACAAGAGTCAGTGGATGGATGAAAGCGCGGCTCCACTCACCCAGATGTTGACGTGCTTGGTCTTGGTTCCCATATATCTTGCCAACCTCTGCCGTTCTACCTTTTCGGGACATGTATCCAAACTCCACTGTACTTCCAACAACTGCAGCTGCGACGTCGTAAAGCGCCTCCTCCCAAGCGACTTGCTGCGCGAATTGTCCAGCCAGGCGGATTCCAAATAGTCCCACTCGTTCTCGCTCTTCTTGTCAATCGCGGCGAGCTTGTGCTCTGCATGAGACTCGTCGTGCCACCAAGCAGGAACCCACTCGAGGTATGCCTCGGGCTCGGAAGAAGACCAGGGTGCGGTGGCAGGTGGCTGGAGGCCAGCCAGGAAGGAGGTGTGCGACAGAGGAAGTTTGAGGAGAGACGGAGAAGAAACAGAGGCGATGGCCGATTCCGAGGAGGCACGAGGCAGGTTAATATACGTTGGGGCGTGAGGAGATGTGCGGGTGGCTGCTGGGGAAGGCAGGGAGGAGGATGGTGATGGCTTTGATCTGACACGGGACGATGAGCGCGTACACTGAGGCATAGGGGGCGGGGCGGGGTGGGGTAAGGAGCGTGAGAGAGTCGGATGGGGGTGGATCTGATGAGGAGGAGGCAGAGATGCAGATGAGGAATGGAGATGCGAATTGGAGGGTCAAGTGGGCGAGGGCCGTGCGGGCGTGAGTCGACTGGGGATGGGGATGGGGATCGTTGGCTGACCGTCCTTTGGGAGCTGGCGGGGGAGGGTGG